TTAACTTAGTAATAGGCATTTATGTTTCCTCCATATCTTTTCATGACTTGATAGCTCATTCCATCGTCTAGATGCACCAATTGCATCCAATCACCTGTTGAAGAACAACTTAGTTGCTTAGTTGCCATCTGTATGTCTTCTTTGATGAAGACTATAGGTTTTTAGTGTTAATTTTGTGTACTGCTATTTTGTTAAATTTTCCTACTGCTTTAAGTGTTTTTTCCATTTATTCTTTTGGTTTTTCCACAGATGCTGGCTTTGGTGTAGAGTAGAACACTTTAGGGATGCTTGGGTGGCTCAGTCGGTTAAGTGTCTGCCTTAAGCATGATCTCAGGGTCCGGGAATCGAGCCCCACGTCGGGCACCCTGCTTATCTCAAATAAATAAATAAATAAAATCTTTAAAAAAAATAAAAAAAGAGTAGAACACTTTAGAGGTCTCTGTATAGGAGAGGCAAGGAAGGGAGGCCCTGCAGTTGTGCACAACATTGTAAGGTGATTTCACCAGGGACCCCAGATTCAGTATTATTAGGTCTTTTAGGTGTCAAATTTCTAAGAAAAGGATCTTTCAGTCTCTTGCCTGGAGGATAGAATTGTCACCAATAGCTGCCAACATTCTTTGAGCTAGTTTGGAAGACTGTCTGGGACTGTGAACTTTAAGTATACAAACTTTCACTGTACATAAACCTTTGCTAAATCCCTCTCTCTTTAATATAGGACCCCAGTTCAACAAGATCCACTTTCCTCTCAATAGAGATCCTGCTTTACCTTCTCCACATAATAATCCTATAGTCAGGAGCAAATTACAGTTTTGTGGGATCTGAAACATGCAATTTGGGGGCTTTGAGAGAAAGAATAAAAAGTAATTTAACTTTGCAAATTAAAACAAACAAAAAAATGACCATCTGAACACATTTCTTGGGCGCCTCCCAGGCCCATGGCAAGGGCCCATGCAAGTGCTAGGCACTAAAGCTACAGATTACTTAACTTCATGGTAAATCTAAAATAACCTCCAATTTTCTCTGAGGTGGGGGAGAGGAAATTGCTTAGTAGTGTAGTTAGGGAGGGATTTGGTGGTCTAAGATGCAAACAAAATTTAAATAAAAAGACCTTTACCACAACTCTTAGAGGCACCTGGTACTATCAATTTCTAAGCCTTTTGCAGGGGCAAGGAGAGGGGTTGTGTTGTAATAAGATCGTTTCTTGGCTTTCCTTATTCTTGTTTTCTGCTTTCTTGGGTTTACCAAATTAGTTTTCATTCATCTATCAGCTTCTCAGTGTCAGAATGTTGATGTGGTTGTCTCCTTTACCATTCTTGATGTTCTTGAGTTTTGGTCAATAAAAAAATGATTTTCCTGTCATTTTACTGTTTCCGAAAGGAGCAGAGGTAAAGGTATATGCTCAATCTACAATTCTCAACCCAAAATCAGAATGTGCCAAATCATGCTCCCAAATTGCCCCCTCCCCAAATGGCTGGAAGCATTTTACACTTTTAGCAGCACAGCATGAAAATATCCACTTACCCTTACCCTTGCCAATACTCCATATTCTCAAAATTTCCCAATCTGGTTAAACTTTCTTATTATTTAAATTTGCATTTCCCTGATTACTGCTGAGGTTCAGCATAATTCTGTATGTTTATTGGCCATTGTGTTGCCTCTTCTGTGAATGACCTGTTCATATCATTTACCCATTTTTGTAATAGGTTGTAAAGGGGAAAAGAACATGCCACCCCAAAATATGCCACTTTGGCATATTGACTGACCTGAAGGCAAGTGAGAGAAAACAGATACAGGAAGGGCTCTTTGACCTTTCCCTTTCTACCTAAAACAGGGCATTCAATTTCCCATGAGGAAGGTGCCCTCCCTGATATCAGGAAGAAGAGAACATTCTTATCACTGGAGACAGGGAGTTGACACCAAGATTAATCTATATCAACAAACCTAGAAAAACCTTTGTCTTTCATTAGTTTCCCTCATCTATTTCCTAGTCATTTTCCTAGTTTACCAACCCTAGTCCAAACCCTCTTTTCCTGTCTCATCAGTCTCCATAATTTATTGTTCTTTGTCAAAATGGTATGTAAATTCTCAATCCTGTCCACTTCTTTGGGTTTTCATTTCTTATATATAAAAGCCTCACCATACATGTAAAAATATTAACATCAAATAAAAGTTGTATGCTTTGCTCCCGTTAATTTGTCTTTTTTAAGTTTTTTTAAGTTTAATCCTTGGGTCCAGCCACAGAACCTAAGGGTAGAGGAAAGGTCTTTCCTCTCTTACAGTAGCTGACCTTTTTTTTTCACTGATTTGTAGGCATTCTTGTTAAAACAAAAATTGCTGTTATACAATTTGTGAATATTTTCTTCTAATTTATCTTTCTCACTTTCTGACATCTGAGTTCTAGGACATTTTAAATTTTGATATAATCTTGCTTTTTGTTTCTATATAAAGATCTTCCCTATCCTAATGTCTTAAATATGATTTAAATTTTCTTTTAATACACATGTAGTTCCATTTTTCAAATTTAGGTCTTTAATCCATTTGGTAATTTATTTTTGTTGTCAAGGGCCTTTTTTCCAACATCAACAATTGGGATACATACTGAATAGTTCATCTTTTACCCACTGATTTAAAATGCCATATTTATTAACTACTAAAAGTTTATATGGGCATTTTCAGTTTCTGGATTCCCTATTCTTTCCCACAGATTTGGTATCTTACTTATTACACATTTTTAAAACTGCACTTTACTAAGAAATATCCTTCTAAGAAATTAAATGGGAATTTGCTAATATTAGAAAAAAATACCAACTAAAGATTGAAATAAAATGTTCACTTTAATATTTATTACACAATTGTTTACTTACACTTATCTGAAAATTATAAGAAGACAATTTGTGCATGTCACAATCATTACTATTCATATAAGAACTACACATAATCATTTATTCAACTATATTAGGATAACACACAGGGTTTTTGTTTGTTTTAGACTTCTTAGTTAAAAGGAAACACCAAATAAGGAAAATAAATTTCCAAAGATTAAGATATTAACAATACAAATAAAAATTATTTCTAAATGTCTTACATTTTGACAATATTGAGTAATACTTACATACTCTTAGTTCCAAAAACCATAAATTATAACACGGGTCACTGTCAGGGTGAAAATATATTTTTTAAAGCTTCTTTTAAAATATGCTATTATTAGGCTTAACATCACTTGATTTATTCTTGGCACATGTGGCATCTGGGAAAGTAAAAATACATTTTGCCAATTTTATGTTATTGTGCAGGTACAAGAGAAAGAGCACAGTTTGGGAGGCAGACAGACCTGTGTTCAATTACCAGCTTTGTTCAAAGTTATGTTGTATGAGGCTGGTCAATTACTTCTTGGCACTGGGGCCAGGATTAAACTAAATAATGCATATTTTAAAATGCATAGCATGGGCACTAAATGAATGATAGATCCTTTCCCCAATTTATTCACACTGAAACAAAAGCAAAATATCACAGTCTTATGTTTTTGTGCAACTTGAAAAACTGAAAAAAAATTTGGAAATTTAAAAATAAAATTAACATGTTTTGAAAAATTATACTTTTAAGAAATAAAGAAAGCCTTCATCAGGTTTAAATATTTCTCAATAAAACTTAGTGCCTACTATACCCTGATTTTTTTTTAAGTCCTAAAGTATGATAAAATGGTCAATGGTTAAGGACTTTTGGTTTTGTTTTTTTTCTTTTTTTGTGCTACTGATATAAAAATAATGGCTATATTTAAGGCTCATTAAGTGATTGTAGTTGCCCTGAACCGAATCTATATTCTTGATGTTGTACTATCAATTGAAGCAGACCAACTGCCTTGAATGAGAAGATTTATTTGGTGGCATGTGGCAGTATAGCTTGTCTGTCATTGAGGATGATTCTTATATACACAATCACAAACCCACCTTTCTCATGCTAAATACTTGGTGTTTGGAAGATCTAAGATCCCTGAAAATTAAATTTAAATTGTCCCAAGGAATAGCCTACTTTAGAAAGCAATGCTTCCATCCCCCTATTCTTGGATCTTTTGTCCCCTATCCTGACCACCTAACAAATTGTCTTTCTGATCTGACTGAAAAAGCCCTCCTTCAGGAATCTTTTCCTAACCAAATTCCACATCCTTCCACTTATGTCCCTGATACTATTGTGTAATTTGTATTAGCTTCAACCTGCATATATTATTATTCATGTTTTGCCTTCTACTTCCAGCTAAGATGTAGTCTCTTTGAATTTTTAAGCTTCCACAGTGTTTAGCACAATACTGTGCATGTATATATGTGTGTGACTGTGTGTATCCATGTGGATGTGTGGGTGTGCATGTGTTGAATAAATAAAAGACTAAAGAACCTGGGTGGGTGGAGGGTGGGAACATTTCACAATTTTTCAGAAATCAAAGTTGCTAAACCTTCTTAATACTAAAAAAAAAAAAAATCTGGTTTCCAAAGCTATCTCAGTTTGGTTTTGGACATGTCAATAATAAAAAGGCAGTGAAAAAACTGTTTAAAAAACCTTTATGAAATATTCTAAAAGGCTTTTTAATAAATTATAAAGAGCACCAAACCAAAATGTTTTACTAAATAGTGGGCAAACCTTTCCTATAACTTTATAAATGTAGACTTTTTTTCATTCAAGACAAAGAATACTGAACAGGAATAGGTGTTGTGAATCAGGATAAAAAAAAGGCAATTCACTCTAAGTCAATATCTAATGCATATTTTGCAATTAATCTGAAAAGCCTTCTGTGGTACATACGTATGTTATGGTAAGTAAAAGAATGATTCCTATCAGGATTCCTAGATCTCTATAGTTGTTCTGATACTATAAAATATGACACATACTGAAGCTGCTATTTAACAAGAAAAGTTTTGTTTATAATAGCTGTTAATATTAAAATAGGATATAATAAAAAATTATTTTCAATGTGTATATTTTCAAATTTGCCTGACAGTGTCCTTTTGAGAAATCTGACAATTTGTAATTAGATTACAGACATTTGAATTTCACTTTTATGATTGAAAATATTACACGCACATAACAGACAATGCTATTAGTAGCTTTTTACCGAAGCACTCTGCAAGTTATATTTAAAGCTTTGCAATAAACAAAATTCATTGTACTCTTTGTAAGTAAAATTACACAACATATAATGTATGCTATAATTACATTAAGAATAAATAAACGAAGCATAAAAATTCTGTGCCATAACATGGACTGTTTTAGCTGTCATTTTAAATGTTAATTTATATGTTTGTATTGACTACTAATGTATTTTAAACTCAAGAACCTTTACCTTTAAATAATATACTAAAAATATCAAGTTTGGAGTATAAACATAAAACTTTATGCCTCTTTTTCTAGGTCATCTAGGAAATAAAATAAGACAAATGGGAGGCAGGGACAGCTCTTTCTGTTACTGCAAAATGCCTCCTTGCTTTCACGTATAGTTCTATGTCATTTCTGGATATTACAAGGTGACAAATATTATAAGATGACAGCTTGGCAAATTATAAGCTTATTTTATTGATTTCTTATTTGGAAGAAAGAAAAAATTTAAAGAAAGAACCTCCTTTTTTGGCTTACTCTCAATCTTTTTCTCTCTAATAAAGCACTTCTTGAAATGCTCACTATTAATCACTTTAAACAACACAAAATGAATTGGATTAATTTATAGAACTAATCATAATAGGTTATCAGTATAGATACTAGGGTGAGGTCCTAGAATTTGTTACACGTAAGGCTAAACTCGCAAGAGATCGCATGGCAAAAGTGGAAACTTTGTGACATATCCCAGCTTTTGAAATATAGTTAGAAGCCAATCGAAAAAGCCTTTCAGCACCAAAGGTATTGAAGTGCCCAGGAAGCACTTTCTCTACCAGACCTCTGTCCACTAATTCTATCAGACGTTCACAGGTTCCAACATAGTCACTTATCCTGCTGTATGGGAGCCAGTCAATCAGTGATCCATCATACACGACATCTCCACTGAAGAGAATCTTCCGGTCTTTGTCATGTAAGCAAATACTGCCTCTGGAGTGACCAGGCATGTGCATAACAGTGAGCTGTCTGTCACCAAGGTTGATCACATCCCCTACAAATGGAAACAGAACTTACAAACATGTTGTATACTTGACTTCAATCATTTAAAGAATAAAAGAACATTAGTTGGTTTTAAAGAGGTCTGGAAGGATGACACTTCTTTCAATTTTATTTCAAAAACATAATACTTCTTAATGATGAATTAAAAATAAGTTGCCTGTATTTCATTTCTATTGTTTGCTTGACCAGTGTTTGTCAAAGTGAGTTATGTGGAACACTATTTCTGTAGGTTGTTGTGATACATAAAAGAAAAGGAAGATTCTGTAGTCAAATAGTATTGGAAACCCTTTCTTCAAAGAAAATGAAGCAGCTTTTTTTCTACAGGGCTTCTGAGAGCTTTTTACTATGCTAATCTACACTGTATATATACACAAGGGAGATATGGTTGTACCATTTCTCAAACTTATTTGACCACAAAACTTTTATTTTTCAGTACATCCATGGTACGATGACACAATTCATGAATGCTGCTCTTTGAGGTATGAGTGCAAAATTGCTGTTTCACTGGATTTAAATCAGTACTAACTTAAGTAAATCATCATAATTTAAAAATCCCATATTGTTATCTTTAGTGAAAACACTAAAGAGAAAAATTAGACATATAGTTAAAAAGTTAATAGGGGAATTAAAACAGTGTAATAATCATAATTTGTTAAACCTAAAAGACAATGAAAGCAGAAAAGAGGGAGAAATAAGAAATAGACATAGAAACAAATAACAAAATGGCAGACCTAAATTCAACTATATCAATAATTACATTAAATGTTAATGGGATAAACATTCTAATCAAAGGCAGAGATTGTCAAAATAGATTTAAAAAGCAAGGTACAGGGATGCCTGGGTGGCTTAGTTGGTTAAGTGTCTGAATTCAGCTCAGGTCATGATCTCAGGATCCTGGGATCAAACCCTGTGTCAGGCTCCCTCCTCAGTAGGGAGTCTGATGCTCCATCTCCCTCCCCTTTTCCTCCCACAACTCGTGCACACATGTTCTTTCCCTCAAATAAATAACCTCTTTAAAAATAATAATAATAATAAAAAGCAAGATATATATGCAGTCTATCAGAGAGGAACTGTAAGGTCAAAGACAAAAAGAGGTTGAAAAAGTTATACCATATAGAGATTAATAAGAGAACTAGAGTAGCTATATTAATATTAGACAAAATAAGGACCATTGGGGGGCGCCTGGGTGGCTCAGTTGGTTAAGCGACTGCCTTCGGCTCAGGTCATGATCCTGGAGTCCCAGGATCGAGTCCCGCATCGGACTTCCTGCTCAGTGGGGAGTCTGCTTCTCCCTCTGACCTTCCCCCGTCTCATGTACTCTCTCTCTCTCATTCTCTCTCTCAAATAAATAAATAAAATCTTTAAAAAAAAAAAAAAAGGACTATTGGTGAAGGGAAAAGAGGTACATTTTATTAGGATATACCTTAAGTCAACACACTAAAAAATTATAAATGTGCTTGTACCTAAAAAAGAGACTAAAAATTCATGAAGTAAAAACTGACAGAACTGAAATAAGAATAAACAGTTCAGGGGCGCCCGGTTGGCACAGCTGGTTAAGCGCTGGACTCTTGATATTGGCTCAGGTCATGATCTCAGGGTCGTGGGATTGAGCCCCATGACAGCTCCATCCTCAGGATGGAGTCTGCTTAAGACTCTCTTTCCCTCTCCCTCTGCCCCTCCACCTGTGCTCATTCATGCTTTCTCTCAAACAAATATTTTTTAAAAAAGAATAAACAGTTCAACAATTATGCTTAGAGATTTAAATATTCCTCTCTGAATAATTCATAAAACAAGTAGATAGAAAATCAGTAAGAATACAGAAGATGTGAACAATACTATCAACCAGTTTGACCTAAGTGACATATATAATATGCTTTATCTTAAAACAGCATACATTCTTTTTAATTGCACTTGGAATATTCATCAGGCTATACATAAAGCAAGTCTCAGTAAATGTGAAAGGAATAAAATCATAAAAATATGTTCCTTGACTACAACATAATTAAATTAGAAATTCATAACAAAAATAAATATGGGAAATATCCAAATATACACAAAGTAAGCATCACAGTTCTACATAACTTATGGATCAAAGATGAAATCACAAAGGAGACTAGAAAATCTCTTGAACTGAATGAAAATAAAAATAAAATATACCAAAATCTATGGGATGCAGCTCATGCAGTGCTTAGAAAAAAATTTATTGCTTTAAATGCTTATTTATAAAGGGTTAACTGTTTAAAATCAAAGTTTCTAACCAGTTTTGATCTTAAGAAGTTAGGAAAAGGAGCAAATCAAATATAAGTAAGTGTTAAGGAATAAATAATAAAGGCCAGCACAGGAATAAATAAGAAACAAATATCATTAGAAAAAAATCAAAGAAACCAATAGTTAGTTCATTGAAAAGAGCAACAAAATTGATATACCAATGGCTAGACAAAGAAAAAAGTTAGAGAAAACACAAATTGCAAAAATCAGAATGAAAGAAGGGGTATCACTACAGACCCTAAGGAAATTAAAAGGAGTATAAGGGAATATTATGAATAACTTTAAGTAAACAAATTTGACAACTTAGTTGAAAAAGACAAATTCTTAGGAAGAGACAAATTACCTAAAGTGATTGAAGAAGAAATAGAAAATCTAAATAGACCTATATCAAGCAAAGAAATTGGTTAATAATTTAAATCTCCCCACAAAGAAAAGTCCAGGCTCAAAGACGGCTTCACTGGTCAATTCTGTCAGTCATTCAAGATAGGGAAAGAACCTAGACTTTCAGAATATAGATGAGGAGGGAAAGCTTTCAAATTTAATTGTAGACAAAGACAATGTAAAAAAGAAAACTACAAACCAATATTCCTAATGATAGTTGTCTCAAAATTATTATCAAAATATTGGCAAATTAAATACAGCAATTTATAAATAGGATAATGTCCAAATGAGGTTTATCCCAGAAATGTAAATTCAGAATATATAAAGAATACTTACAACTCAATAATAAGAAAATAAAAATAAAAATTTTTAGAAAGGAGGAGAGATTTTAATAGACCCTTTAACAAGATACTTGAATAGCAAATAAATACCTGAAAATATGCTCAACATCATTAGTTATTAGGGAGATGCAAATAAAACCACAATGAAATACCACTACACACTCATGAGAATGGCTAAAATAAAAAGAGATGGACAAAAACAAGTGTTGACAAAGATGTGGAGAAACTGGAACTCTTACCCATTGCATATAGGAGTGTAAAACGGTATAACTACCTCAGAAAACAGGCACTTTCTTAAAAAATTAACATCCACTTACCGTAAGATCCAAGGATTCCATTCCTAGGTATCTACCAAGGATAGTCATAAGGGGCCAGACTCCTTTACAAGATAACTGTTCCAGATTTAAAGTGCCTCTGGGTATCACAAACCCCATTTATGTCATTTATGTATGGTTGGCAGGTAAGGTAAAGAAATTATAGCTAGGTTGGTGTAATAATGGAGCTGTCAGAGACTGGTGTTTTCATAAGTGTATAGAAAGGAGGGGAGGGAAGTTGAATCAAAAAAAAAATCTGTGGATAATTACCATTGCAGGGAGAGAATCTTATAGATCATTGGTTATATCCAAGTGATATTCAAAATATTTAGCAACAGATAAGTCAAAAGTGCCCAACTATCAAATAGATACCAATGGTAAGCAGTTGATAAGGCCATATGGCTAAATATCATTAGGTCTGCCATTACCCTGTGGCTTTATATGTGCCTTCCATATGCTTATAATGCTCTCATATATAATTTCATCAAAACTTCTCTTACAAGAATCAGAATTGCCTATGAAATGTATCCATATATAAAAATATCATATATATAAATATATAATCACACACACACTTACCCACAATATCCTTCCAAGCCCTCACCCTGACCCACTTGTCATCAGATTCCAGCCACACTAAACTTCTCTTGGCTTCTCAAATTTTTAATCAAAGAAATATATATATATATTTCAAATAAAATATTCCAAAAGGGCTTAAAATGTAAGAAAAAGTTATTTGCCCCATTCTGACTCTATCTCCAATCCTGCTCCCAAGAATCAACCACTTTAAACAATTTTTCTTCTGGTAGCTGCCTCTACTAGATATACCCATCTCTAAATAATTTTTATATTTCATTTCTTGGTTTACAAATTAGATATACTGTACTGATTTCATTCATGTATTACCATTTCTTGGTTTTTAAATTTTAGATGATACTGGTCAACTTCCACGATGAAATATAAGAATTTTTAGCTCTCTTTACTCTTCATTCTTCTCCTACTGGCACTACACATGTATATATTTCTCATCCTCTCATCCTCCAAAAGATTAATGATTTAACTACTCCAGTGTGGAGCTCTTTACACCTGGCATAATATCATTGTTGGAGTACCATCTTTGCCATCATCCTGATGCTTCCTTTCAACTTTTTCTTGTATCTCATGTTTCCTGTATTCCATGTCTTCTTGCTTTACTTCCTTATTTTGAAGGGAGTAAACAGGATAAAATTGTATCTTAGTAAGTTTCTAAGTAACAGCATGTGGGAAATAATCTTTTTTTTTTGACAGAGAGAGATACAGCGAAAGAGGGAACACAAGCAGGGGGAGTGGCAGAGGGAGAAGCAGGCTACCCGTGGAGCAGGGAGCCCGATGTGGGGCTCAATCCCAGGACCCTGGGATCATGACCTGAGCCAAAGGCAGACGGTTAACGACTGAGCCACCCAGGCGCTCTGGGAAATAATCTTTTTGGGAACTTCACTGTTAAAGAAATGGATGTGGAATTCTAAATTGGAAATGAATTGTATTCAAATAAGACATAGTTCTTTTCTGGCTCCAAAGCCATCATGATCTGTATAGATGACTTTTTAAAAAAGATTTATTGATTTATTTGAGACGGGGGTGGGGAGGAATGGCAGAGAGAGAAAGGGAGAGAGAATCCACAAGCAGACTCCCCGCTGAGCTCGGAGCCCTACCTAGAGCTGATCCCAGGACCCTGAGATCATGACCTGAGCTGAAACCAAGAGTCAGACGCTTGACTAACAGAGCCACCCAGGTGCCCCTGTATAGATGACTTTTTAATTTAAATTTCTGGAAGTTTGATTCTAATATTCTGAAATTTTACAATAATGTGCCTTTGGTTGGGTGGGTTTTTATTCATGCTAGGAACTCTGTGGGCTCGCTCAGTCTAAAAATTTACATCCCTTAATTATGGGATATTTTCATGAATTATCTCTATTATGCTTTCTTTGCCTCCATTTTATTCTATCTGTGTTTCTTTTATTCCAATGTTGAATTTTCCAAACTGATTCTGTTGGTTCTCTCCTAGTTTTCATTTTGCCTATCTGCTCTTTCTTTTAAGTTTTTCAACTTTATCTTCCAGTTCTACTAAGAAACTTCTACCATTTTAGGCTGTGTGGCTCAGTCAGTTAAGCGACTCTTTTAGCTCAGGTCATCTTCTAAGGGTCATGGGGTCAAGCCCCTTGTTGAACCCCATGTTGACCACCATATGGGGCAGGCATGTGTCTGCTTCTCTCTCTCTTTCCCTCCCCCTCTGCACCTCCCCCTGTTGCACACACGCTCTCTCTCTCTGAAATAAATCTTTAAAAAAAAAAAACTTCTGCCGTTTTAAATTCCAAGACTCTGGTGTGTGTGCGCGCGCGCGTGCGCACGCGTGCGCACATACTGTTCTGTTGCTTATTTTTAAAGCATCCTATTGTCTCTTGGGTATCTTGAATGCAATAGCTTCTGTCATTCCCTGATACTATTAATGATAATCTTCAACCCTCAAATTGCCTTATGTTATTTGTTTTAGTATTTGATCTCATGTTAGATGATTTTCTCAGATTTTTCATAATGCTTGGTTGCCCATTTAAGAATGGGGGGTAAAAAGGCTGCTTGAAGCACATGCATGGGACTAGTGACCAAGGCTTCACTGTGGAGAGATCAAGCTGAAGATTGATCAGGGATCAGCATCTTAGTCTTTCCTCCAGGGCTGGATGCATTTCCCAGGTAAGATTCTTCCAATTTGCTACTTGGGGGGTAAAGACTTGGGTCTATCCTTCTTGGAAACTTGTAGGGAACATACACTCTCTCTCTCTCTCTCTCACACACACACACAGTCCTATTTTCCATACTGAATCCTGAGCTCAAGAGTACTTACCATCTTTCAATCAAGAAACTCTTCTGCTTTACCCACCCCCAGAGGACACACTAACCAGATAGGCATTCCAGAGTTTCAATAACCTCTTAAACAGCTTTCAACCAATTCTACTTATTTTAGTATTCTTTCCTTTGCCCCCACTAAGGTACCAGCTACTGCTAATTCCTGAGCCTTTTAAGGTTCCTGCAGTGCAGACTGGATTGGCGGCTCTTGATTTCCCATTGCTGCCAGAAGATAAAACTGCTGACTCAGTCATCACATTTACTCTGCAGCATCCGAAATAGTTCAGTATGGATTTACAATTAAACAGACAAACCACCATCCCTTTATAGTAGTCTTAGTCAGGTTTGGGATGGAGTCAAGTTAGATGTGTTTTTCAACCTGCTACCTTTCTGGGTTCTATTTTTTGTTTTTAACCTCCCCAAATGATTTAAGTCTACCTGTCATAACTGTAATTATTTTGGTGACTCTAGGCAAATTGTTTAAACATATATAACAGGGGACAAAATGCCTGCACTTCATATCATTTGTGAAAAACAGACAGATGTATGCCCCATCAAGAAGGTACTATATTAACCTAAGGTTTATCTATCTTTTTATAGGAGGATACTATGTCACTATTAGTAGGGGGAGTTGTTTTTCCATCTAAGATGATACACTGAATGATGATCTCTCTTTTGTCCCTCATTTACAAGTCAGCTTTTGGGTTAGTTATACCGTGCCCAGATTTATGCTTCCTCATGACAAGTGATCATCAGTTCACTAAATGAAATGTAATAAACTAATGACTTCAGTCTCCTTATGCTCTAACTAAAACAACAACTTCATGCTGTTTGGATATGTGCTGTTCGTGTGTGTGTAACTGTGTATGAATTTTTCATATAAATATTTTGTATCTCCTTCCAGGCATCTGGATTATGGTAACAGCAAGTTAGCAGGCCACACCATTCAGAACAGAAAGGAAATTAATATTCCTGAGAAAAGAGGAAATTAGATACTACTTGAGAGGTGAGGCATTCTGCTCCTAATGAAAAACACCTTTTAATTTAACACCCTATTCTCAGCTTTAAGTTTTTGGTAAATATTAAGCTGTTTTCCCCACACTTTCAAAGGTTTACAGGCCCCCTGCAGTTCCAAAATGCTACTACCCACCCCCAGAGGACACACTAGGATTTAGGAAACCTGGATTCTAGTCCTAGCTCTTTTCCAAACAGGATATGTGACCTCAGGCATGATATTCAGGCCTGCTGGGACTCTTCACCTATAAAACAGTAATTCTTATCATTCTTTCACCATTGATTTCCTATTGCTGGCACAGAAGCAAAAGTAAATAAATCAGAAGTAATTTATTCATTCAGACAAATTAATACATTTTAAATACTAATGTAAACATTTTTTGGTCTCAGTGCTACAATTAATTTACTCTGAATACCCATCAACTGCATGGAAATCCTACCTCTAAAAAGTATCAATTTTACCAAGAAATACAAGAAATACTGTAAATGTACTTTTATTGTCAAATAATGACTCACACCTAACCAGTCTTTTTTTTAATTTTTAGATTTAAAATTTTAATGAAAAGACTTTTTCAGTGGGGTGTGAGGTACAGAATCTTGCTTTCTATTTTTTTCTATTTCAAGTGATCAAGATCTCATCTGTATGATAAACTGATTATTGTGAAATATTTCATTATTTGTCATATTGGTCAGTCATAAAGTAGCCTTATTGTGCAACAGGATTTTTCTACCTCTTGGAGTAACGTTTTAATAAATAAAATTGGCAATTAAAATGGTTTCAAGATAAAAATATGAGAAGGGGGTTTCATATCCTACTCAGAATTACCATAATATATTTATGGGGTAGGATTTATGATCTGCATGCTTTGATCTGTTTTGTCTTGGTTCAAATCCTAGCTTTTGTCATTATCTTGCTTTGTGGTCAGCCACCTCACTTCAAACGTGTTGTGAAGATAAAATGAAATCAACAAAAGTATTCTAAAAAAAGAAAAGGAAATTAATATACAAATATTGCTATTGTGGCTAATTAGCTCAATTATTTAAGTGCCTGCTGGGGTTGCGAGGGCTGGGGCCCAAGTCTATTTTATTTTATTCCATTAGTTTCTCTCTGATCCCCATCCTGTCTTTTACAGAGGCACAGGCCCAAGGCTGTCCATGCATTAGTCCATGTACTTCACCATCACCGGAAATAACCTCCTTATTAATTTTTTTCAGGCCTTGCTTTAAACCAGACCGTATATTATCATAATGTAAGACATTACTCTACTTTTTATGTTCGCCATCAAGCTTTTCTCTAATGAGGCTACATCAAGAACAGAAACCTATCTGGAGATTAGGATGCAAGAGCAGACTGGAACCCCTGCTCTCTAATGGCTTGCTAAACCTACAGGTGGGAACTGCTCATACCCAGCAGTGACCACTGACATAGCGGATGAAGTCAGCCGGCCTCAAAAGCACGGAGCATGTCACGAACTCTCTGTGAGGAGTCATTCCTTAAAAGTCTTTTCGCTAGAAAAGCGTCTGGAAATCAGACAGGTGTTCGGGAAAAGAATGGGGGAATCCCTAGTCACAAGCCTCTGTAGTGTTACTACTATATCTTACACAGGAAACTGACTAGGGGGTGGGGCCGGCTTTATCCAGTACTTGGCGTTGCCACACGGTGCCAGAACTGGCCTTGGCTCCGACCGAGTGGGCTTCTACTCAGGGAAGGGAAAAACAGTAGTGGTGTTTCTGCGATGTGACAAAACAGGCCAGCTTATAGCCACGCACGTCTGCAACATGCATCCCTCGAACAGTTTTTCCCAATCCCCTCCCTTAATGACAGAGCGCGCGCCCGTGAGGGCCCATTACCATCCTGCAGGATGAGGGTGGGCTGTACCGCCTGCACTCGGAACTGCCTGGCCCTCCAGCCGGGGCTGGGCGCCCGCACCACCTCGCTGTCAGACAGCCAGGTCACGGTCTCAAAGTTGTCCCCGCGAGCCAGTGCCTCGGCCTCGGCATGATGCACGGCCACCCGGTCGAACTGGTAGAGGCCTCCGGAGTGGTCGAAGTGCACGTGGGTGGCCACCGCCAGCAGTGGCCGGCACGCCGCGTCCTCTTTGGCCCCGTGATCCTGCAAGAGACCGGAGGAGTACAGGTACTCTGGGAGGCTGCGCAGCCCCAGGCCCGTATCGATCACCACATCTTGCTCGGAACCGCGCACCAGCCATATGTTGGCGCGGTTGCCCGACTCATAGAAGCGTTCCTGAATCCAGAAGATGCCGTCGCCCAGGGACTTGTGGGCGTACCACTCGAGGGCGGACATGCTGGGCAGGGGTGCGGTCGAGCGGAGTGGGTGTAGGCGTGTGTGCCTCCGGCAGGCTGTCCACACGTTAGGCGCTGCGGCGGTGTGGAGCGGCGAGCCCGCAGCCAGGGAGGAGGCGCAGAGCGAGGAGAGGGCGGGGGATCCGGGAGACGCGAGGGCGTGGGGGGAGAACTAGGAGGAAGGACGCGCCGAGACGCGGCCTGGAGAGTCTGGCCGCACCCTCCAGCCAGGTCCGCAAAGAGCAGAGGTTGCTCTGCCCGCACCTAGGCGCTGGAGTAGTCGCGGCTTCAGTAGCTGCAGCACAAGGGGGCGTTAACGCAGGGGCACCGCAGCACACTGGAGACCCAGAAGGAGACACTTTCTTCACCCCGGGGATCTGACTGCAGAGGCAAGAAGCAAGGCAGGGGAGGTGCCGGGTCCTCCCACCCACTTCGCGCTGCGAAGCGCACTTCCAGCCGGCGCCGAAAGAGTCAGGCCAAGCCGGATGGAGGAGTACGGCGCCTGCCAAGGGCTAAAAAGCTCTTGGCCCAGAGGGCGGGGCCTAGCTAGGGAGTGGGTGGGGCTAACTGGTTGGAATCGGAACAAGGCTCTGAGGCCGCGTGGAGGGCGGAGCGCGCTTCTCCGGAGGTGGAACGCGTATCCGAGCGCCCGCGCCTTCTGTCTGCACCCCTTCCTTGCCGGCCGGCACTTCGGCTGCACAGTTTTACCCAAGCTTCGAGACTTAGTGAGCAGGTAACAGGGAGCAATTGAGGGGCTGGGAGGAGATGGAGAGGGTAGAGAGAAGTTAAAGGGGCACAGGGAGAAGGTGGAGGAAGTCAGGGGTGGCGGTTCACTAAAGCGCTTCTGGATTGAGGGGCGTTGGGAGATAGCTTTACCTTTTCTTCTCCTAAACCCTTCAAAATCTTTGAAAAACCGTCCCTTCCAGATTTTACCTAGTCTCCACTTCCTGGGACTGTTTGCAGTGAGTTAGAAGGGGATTTATGCTCCCTAACTGATGGTAGATTTTCAAATCTGGTGACTATGTGATTGGCTCAGGCACGAGTCATTGCCGCAGACTTGCTGCTTAAGGACCGACTATTCAGTATGTTTTCCTAACTCTTGGCACTTTACCCTGTATCGTGGGGGAGAGGATTTTTCTGATCTTCTGAAAAATGAAATTCTGTATTCCTTCCCCTACCCTCCATTTTTTTTGGTGCTTTTTTGTTGTTGTTGTTAGTTTGTCCGCTCTTGGAAGAGAGCTAAGAAAGTTGATAGGCTCAACTAAGTAAAGGTGGAGGCAATCGCACCTTGTGAGAACAAGAAACGTGGATAGTGCCTGGGTGTGGCCCAGCCAGCCACATAAATTACCCCTACTATTAGCACCAGGTCCCTGTTCCCACCTAGCACCTCCCAGCTATTGAAACATCGTTAGGCTTCAAAAATTCCTTGAGAACTTGACTAACCTCCCTACTCAGCCAGGAAAAATTATAAAGATACCCGTGAGAGAGCATTATAAAAAATAATTATGAAAACCCTTACTGTGGCAGCTGCTAATAAGCCTTCAGCATAAAGCAATATGGGATATATACCACAGTGGAAGTAAAAACTAGGTGCTGTAAGGATACAAATGGAAAGGATTGTTGAACAATGGTATATGAGAAGGACTAAAAAACCACTGTTTGTTAGGAGAGCATGGGAAGTACAGAGCTTTCTGTAGTTTGGGTATTTTTCCTTTAGGCAGAGGGAAACTACTGTAGGGGAAATGGAGGGATATCCTTACTAGGCAGTGAGCTCAGCAATAATTCACCCAGTGTTTATTGGACTTTTGCTAGGTTCGGATTAGTGGCAGAGCATGAAAATGTGAATAAGTCTTCAAGGAGGCCTTCATTATTACAGATCCTTCTGCTTGCATCACACTTTCCCCTGGATGTCTGTCCTTTCTTAGTTGGCCTTTCCATTTCCTGTGCTAGACTATGAGCACCGTGAGAGCAGAAGCTTTGTTTTGTTCTCTACTATACTCCCAGTACGGAGAAGTGGTCTGACACAGAGGGTGCTTGATAAATATTTGATGAATGGATAATTGAAGAGCTTACTGGAAAGACAGACAAGAACTGACAATTACAACATGATTTTTAAAAGGGTAATAAAAGCAGTGTAGTACTTGGGAAACAGAGAAGGGAGAGACCTACCTCCATGTTGGGTGGAGAAAAACTATCATTTACACAGCATCTTAAATGATGCTGGGGCTTGCTCAGGTAGATGTGGGAGGAAGGCACTCCAGGCAGAAGGAATGCTACATGCAAGAGTTGGTGTAGTAGAGTTGAGAGTGGCTAGAGTATGGCATGCAGGGGGCAAGAGGCAGAAAGTTAGACTCAAAGCTTTGTTAGTTAAGGAGAGTGACACATCAAGGTTTATGTTCTAGAAAGAAGACTGGAGAAGACTGGAGAGTGAATTGAAAGGGGGATTCTGGCCATGGGAATTTATTTGTTCTATGTAGGCGTCCAGGTGAGAGATGGTAAAGGCCTGAACAAAAGCAGAGGTGAAGGGAGGTCAACATGTAAGAGAGGATACAGCTAACATTCTTCTATTGATGAGGGGATTGATGGAGAAGAGATCAGTATGCCTATTGGGTTCTGATTGGGGCAATTTAGGTGTCATTTGTCAGGAAAGATACTGTGACCTGGCTTTCGGTGTCTCCTCCCCAGCTTCCATGCCTGCTTACATCTGTTTGTACATTTATTCACCTAGCTAATATGTGCAAGGGACAGTGTGAGATGTGGACGACAATACATTTGGGCCACAACATAACTCATAAAATGTTAGTGCTATGAGGAATTTTAAAGATTAGCTCAGCCTCTGCTGCAAGGTTGTCTTTATAATTGATTAGAATGGGTTTTGCATTTCAACTCTTGGGTACTTGGACTACACCCATCAAACTATCTCAGAACAGTTTGGAATAGGAATTTTCAGGAGTCATTCCAAAATGGAAGATGATGCTTCTGATTTTACACTTTTAAATTCAGTCAGTTTCGCCATTACTAATTCACTTCTTTGTAAAGATGAAAGACATCTGTGGGATTAAAGAAATCTTCAACTAGCCTGGAAGTATGTTTCAGGTAGCATAATGTAGATGAATGGACAATGGAAAGGTACCTGAGGCTCTAACCCAGTTGTCTTTGTTAGGAATTAACTGTGTGTCTTCAGGCAGTCAGCTAACCTCTCAGGGCTTCGCTTTCCTCCTTTACAAAATGTGAAATTTAATCTGAAGCAGTGGTTCTTAATTTGGGCTACACATTGTAATCTCTAGGAAGGCTTTAAAAAGTCCTAAGGCCTATCCCATCTCTGGAAATTGTGATTTCGTTGTTCTGGGGGGAAGCCTGAGTTTTGTTTTGTTCTGTTTGTTTTTAAATTCTGATGATTCCAGTGTATATCCAGGTCTCCCAACTTTAAAGTTCTGGAAGTTTAAAAACAACAACAACAACAATGTTAATGGTAGCCTGACTGATTTGGGTTGATTTGCTCATGAAATCATATGACAGAAAGAAAGAAGGAGCTTAACATTAATTGTGGAACTATTGCTCTGTAGAGAGCACCATGCTAGACAGTGAGGGATGTAAAATCTCTACTGTTACTACAGCCGAAGAAATAAACGGGAAACAGTGAAACTTCTTCCCTTTGGAAAAGGCCCATTTCCTAAAAAGGGCATTGTCTCTATTTCTTCCAGAATTAAGGAGCAGCAATATGTAACACCTCAATTTTTAAAAATCCGTTTATTTTAACAGGAGGCTCTCCCTAAGAGCAAGGGGGGGTGATATGACTGTTGTGGATTTTGAGGGACTTAAACTGGATCTTCAGGTGAAAGGGGACCCAGTCAGGCAGGGGAGGGAGGGAGTAGATTACAGTGGAGAGAATGGTAAACAAGACATGATGATAGAAGGTGCCAGGAGGATAGGTGCAGCCATCTTAAAAGGGCCCTGAGCACTTGGGTAGGGAGTTTGGATTTAATTCTATAGCCAAGAGGGAAATGAGAAGAGTAGCATAATCAGAACTATGCCTGAGGGTGAATTATGTAGAAGAATAAATTAAATGGGAAGAACAAGGGATACCACAAAACTTGCAGTCAGTCCAAAGTGGGGTAGAAAGGGGCTACATGGGATTATGGTAGAGGAGATGAAAAGGAAGGGATGTTTTGAAGGAAGAATTAGCTGATTGATTTGATAGGAAGGGTGGAACAGAGTGAGTAATCAATACTGATGTCTTTCACATCATCAAATGTCGATGACTGGGAAAATAACATACCATGGATAGAAATAGAGACGTAATACCTGAAAGGCAAGCTAGTTGGTGTAGGGGGAAGATGATCTCAGTATTTTAAGTTTAAAGTGCTTTCCAAATATTCTTTTGATAGTGAGAACATGGGCTGAAACTCAAGACAAAAGTCAGTGCTGTAGATAATAGTATGGGACAGGTCACCTAACACTGAATATGGATGTGTTTTCTGAAGACCAGGACCATAAAGAGCAGAAGGCCAAAGACTGGACCTTAAGGAAATCCATACTTAGGAAGTTTAAGAAGAGAAGTAGACAAAAAAAAAAAAAGTCAGTGGGGTAGAAAAGCCTGGAGGGCTTTTTGTTGTTTGTTGTTTTTATTTTGAGGTGTTTTTATTGTTGTTGTTGTTGTTGTTTTTAAGTAGGCTCCACACCCAGCATGGAGCCCATCACTAGGCTTGAACCCACGACCCTGAGATCAAGAACTGTGCTGAGATCAAGAGTCAGATGCTTAACCGACTGAGCCACCCAGGCGCCCCAAAACCTGGAGTTTTAATAAAGCCTAGAAAAGAGAGAGTTCCAAAAGGGAGGAGGCAACAGTGAGTTGTGTGCTTTGGAAGGCCAAGAGCATGACAAAAGGCCAGTGGATTTTACCATTGGGGACCACTGGGGCCTTTGCACTTCAGCATCTTTGTGAGTGTAGTCCCCATCACAAGTGAGGTAAAAGCCAAACCCCTTACCACAGCTCACACAGGTTTCCACAAAACCTGGCCTCCACCCGCCTCGCTCCTCACTCCTCACCAACAACATGGCTTTCTTGTTCCTCGGACACTCCCAGCATGTGACTTCTTCCTCTGCACTTGCTCTCCTTCTCTCTGTAGCCATCTCTGCCTTGTCCCACCCTTGTGTGGCTCACGGGCCTTCTCCAGCATGCTGCTCAGATTTATCTTCCACAGAAAGGCCTTCCTTGTATGAAAAGCCACTACCATACCCCTTTGTTATTCTCTATCCCCTTACCATGATTTCTTTTTCTTCAGAACTGTATTGATGATTTTCTAGGGCTGCTATCACATTTTACCACAAATTGGGCGGCTTACAACAACAGAAATTTATTCTCTCACAGTTCTGGAGGCCCGAAGTCTGAAATCAAGGTGTCGGCAGGGTTTGTTCTTTCTGGAGGCTCTAAGGAAAAATTTGCTCCCTGCCTCTCCTAGCCTTAGTGCATCCTGGCACTGTCTGGCATTCCTGGCTTGTAACTGCAGCATTCCAGTCTCTGCCTTCATCTTCACATGGTGTTTTCCCTCTGTGCGTGTCTCTCTTCTCGAATTTCCCTTTTAGAAGGACACCTGTCATTGGAAGAGGGCTTACCCTGATCCACTGTGACCTCATCTTAATGTGATTGCATCTGCAAAGACTTTATTTCCAAATAAGGAAGGTCACATTCACAGATACTGGGGGTTAGGAGTTCCAGCATATTTGGTGGTGGGACGAGGGGGGCATAATTCAACCCACAACAAGAATACATACATTATGTTACACACTTATTTGTTTATGTGTTTGTGTTCAGCTGCTGAAATACAAGCTCTTAGGACAGGGACAAGGTTTTATTCAAAGCTTTCTGGGTCCTGCCACAGTGCCTGGAATGCTCAATATTGGTTGAATGAATGACTCAGTGAAATTGGTCTATATGAAGTAGAGGAAGATTTGGATAATGAGAAAATAGGGAATGTTGGTTTAAAAAAAGCCTGTCACGGGTGCCTGGGTGGCTCAGTTATTAAGCGGCTGCCTTCGGCTTAAGTCATGATCTCAGGGTCCTGGCATCGAGCCCCTCATCGGGCTCTCTGCTCCATGGGAAGCCTGCTTCTCCCACTCCCCGTGCTTGTGTTCCCTCTCTCGCTGTCTCTCTCTCTCTCTCTGTCAAATAAATAAATAAAATCTTAAAAAAAAAAAAAAAAAAGCCTGTCATTCAAGAAGTTTGGGAGGGTGAAAAAAGACCAAGGCAGTGGTTGACTCAATTCCAAAGACTGAGGCTTATGCCTCACTTGTGAGCCATTTTCCCTATGAGACAGTTACTGGAGTCCAAGAAATACTTCTCAGCTCTGCAAGAGAAGAAAATGAATTTGTCACTTTCTCTAGGTATGGGACAACTGACTCATAATAGCCAAACTAAAAAGAGATGAATCTGTAGACCAGAATGCCATATAATCATTAAGGGTGGCTCAAAAGCTAGGATTGATTTTTCTGCCAAGGGCAGTATATTCACTAATCATATCAATTTATACACCCAGAGGTGCTTGGTAAATACGGAAGTTTAGAGGCAGCAGAGTTTGATATTTCTCAAGGGATATTCCATCAAGCAATGGTAGGGGATATACTCTCTTTTTAGGGTGAGTTTTCCCAACTGTTTCTTAGAGCCCACCTCCAGAGATCCTGGTGTAGGTTTGAATACTTGAGGATCACTTGAGATTTGGTATATTTAACAAGTTTTCCAGGTAATTCTCATGATCATGCATTTTGGGAAATGTTACCTGGAATTGTTCTTAATTTTATTTAGTAGCAAATCCCAGATTAGAATTAAGCCCAGTGGTCTCAACCATGCCTACTGGGCTCCTACAATTCATTTCTTAGAGTGAAGGTGTGTCTTTCTGCTCAGCAGTTTTCATACTTGGGAAACTTGCTTTGTGTGCAAGCGTATGCTTGAGTGACTCAGCAAATGAAACACAGCCATTTGGATATTCTCCCTCTCTTTTATGGTGGACAGATGGAATGAGCTTGATTATTAAAATAAGTACCTTTCCTATATAACTTGTGCTTCATTGTAACTAAATAGTGAATGAGGGGAATTGATTCCTGATAGAATTCCAATTAGTAGATATAGAAAGAATAGAATTACAGTCCATAATGGAATAATGAATCTAGACTACAATCATCAATGGCTGCCAAAATCATTAGGTAGAAACTGATGGGGAAGTTTATACTAGATGAAACAGACTGATAGCACCTGACCCACTGACCAGAGAACATCACCGAGAGAGAGAGACTTCATGTGCATCCTCATGTGATGCAGTAGGAAGAACAGAGCATCTCCTTTAAGTGTTCTTGCAAAAAATTTAACTCAAATTTGAATACACCTCTATTTAGAAAATACACGGACTAGAGGAATGTATTAAACCACATTCTCATGGATTCAGTTCCTCAGATTCAGAAATGGGAGAATGTACAGCCTTGCTACTTTCAAACTGTGGACTGCACACCAGCTGCATTGATATCCCCAGAGAGCTTGTTAGAAATGCAGATTCTCGGCCAAATGAAAGACTCTGCATTTTAACAAGATTCCTAGGTAATTCTCATGTGCCTTAAATTTGGAGAAGCGTTGTCCAGGAAATGACCTCATGTTTTCAAACAAATAATGGTAAGGAAAGAAAGAAAGGGGAACTGTTGAGTAGTATGGGAGGATATATTACTGCTTTGTTGGGCTTGCGGGATTGAAGGATACACCGTATTATCAATGGGAAAAAAGAATTAGAGGATGTGTGTCATAATCATCATGACAGTCAAATGCAGACTTGTAATGAAAGAGCTTTGGTGTAGGGATCCCTGTTAATATTCTGCCAGCTCAGTTCTCACACTATAGTATAATCATGTTTCGGACAATTCAGAAATTCAGTGCAGAACTTGAGTAGGTGACATCACTGTTGTCCCCAAAGTTGAAAAAAGGACAGGTTTATCATACCTTTAACTATTTCAGATGTTTTTCTCTGAACTTTAACAATTTTGTTTTTGCTTGGACACACTTCAGAGTCTTACTGAGCCCGTTCCCATTTTCTAAAAGGACATTGGATTAGATCTCAAGGATTCTTTCCAACACTCAAATTCTAGGATAAATAAATCATTTAAAAATCTCAAGTGTATATGACTAATGAAAGTGTACGTGACTAATGATAGTCTTCAAGTTGAATGAAAAAGCAAGGCAGCCTGTCTTCCTCAGCCAGACCTTTCCTTGTCCACACTTTTCGAAAATGTCCGAGATCTTGAGGCCAGATCACAGAGGGGTGGAGAGAAGTGCGTCAGCTGGCTGTGCAGTGGTCCGGGTGGCACCTTAGAGGAGACCCAGGGTCAGCTGTTCACCCAGGGCCGAGATGAGATAGTTGAGGCCATCCTCTTGTCACCCCCAGGCATGACTAGGTGTGAGGGGTCCAGAAATCAGTCTATCATGTAGTTCTTTACAAGTTGGACTTTCCAGAAGTATTTTAAATTGGCCATGCTACTTCACGGGCAGAGTATTATATTTTGCTTTGAAATTATGTTGGTTTCCTTTTTTACATGATGTCTTTCAGAATTTGCCCACTTTTCTGGTATAACCAATTCTGATGGCTGGGAATAAAGGACGCGGACGTGCAGCTTATACCTTTAATATTGAGGCAGTTGGATTTGGCAGAGGTGAAAAGTTACCTGATGTAGTATTGAAACCCCCTCCACTATTTCCTGTAAGTATATTGAAAGCAGATTTCTCATGGTTTGTTTTTTCATGTTTCAAAGAAAATTAAAATTCTATATAGGACTGAATAGAGGATATCATTATAAAATCTTAAATGTAAGGAAGTAGAAGAGGGTGTGCTTCGCTGCTGTGTGCTTCCCTGAACCTCTTTCTGATTTTTAACACTGCTTTCCTAAAACACAGAAGAAACTGTAGTCACCTTTCCTTGAATATACTCAGTACTATGTGAACTAAAAAATAATTTTTTTTCAATTCCTGCATCTTCTGTTGTGTTTTTGATGTATTCCAACATCAAAATAATATTTTTGAAAGTCAGGTCAGATTTACAGTGGTGCCCAATGGTCCTCACTCTACCAGACTTTCACTTAATGATTGTCCTCTCATCTTGTGTCTGTAGGATTTGATTTTGCTCCCTAGTATACCATTTGGTCTTTTCATCCCTACTCAACTTTTTTTTTTCTTATTTCTCTATTTTTTAAGAGTCAATTTGAATTTTGTTGCTGTTTCTCAACATCTAAGTGTTCCTACTACATTTAGTGTTGCTTTTAAATTTAATGAGGATGCTGTAAACTCAATTGGCATAATATTTAATGCTTTCACTTTACGTTTAGTTTAAAATCTAAGCTTACATTTCCACGTGTGTATGTGCTACAGTATAAAAAAATGAAAAAATTGTAAATAACCACATACCCCTCCATCCAGGAATCTTTCCCCTATTTCAAAAGGGAAAAGTCCCTTGTCAAAAGATTTATGTAAGTAGAGGACCCTGAACAAATGTATCTAGGGATCTAGGTGTCTTCCACAGGGAGTCTCTACTTTTTGCTCTTGGTATTTTGCCTTTTTGATATTTAGTAAATAGCCTGAAACAACAATAAACATCTCATGTACAGGCATAATGTCACTTTATACATTGATTTCTTTTAAAACAAGCTCTTCTCCATGTGTGAAGGTACTTCTAAACACTGGGAATATTAGGACATGTTGTTTTATACTTGGAATAAAATTGAAATTCCTTACTGCTGGCAAACTGGCTCTGTTTGATACGGCCTTGCTGATGTCTAACTTTTTCTGTCACTGACCTTCTCTCTCCTTAGCCATCATGGCCTTGTTCTCGCAGACGTTTTCCTGTGTTGGTTTCCCTGGCTGAAGCCTTCTGTTTTCAAGTCTTTCCATGATGGCTTCCTAGTTTTATCCAGAGCTCTGCTCAAATGTGACTTCCTGAGAGGTCACATGTGCTCACCCTTGTCTAGACCAATACCTCCAGCCTCCATGTACTCTGTCACTCTTTCCTCTACCCAGCTTCGTTTTCATGCCACTTATCACTACCTGAAATTGTGTATTTCCTCATTGTTTACTTACATCTTGTGTTTTTCTCCCCTAAAATGTAAGTTCCGTAAGGGCAGGAAGTTTGATTAGTTCATCATGGTGTCTCTTGTTGTCTAACCATGTCTGGCTTATAGTAAGCACTTAATAAATAGTTGTAGAATGAATGAACAAATTCAGAATGAGATTTTGAAAATGTACCCTATACTTTGCTCTGACACTAGAAATATCTTTTTTTTAAGAAATGTCTCTACTACATACCCTGAGGTCCCACTTTTTAATAAATATATATATTTTGTGAATATATATACATAATATATATATACATATGCGTGCATGTGTGTAGTTTGTTAAAATTGAAGACGTCAAGAGGCACCTGAGTGGCTCAGTTGGTTGGGCATTCAACTCTTGATTTCGGCTCAGATCATGATCTCAGGCTCTTGGGATCAAGCTCTGGGTCAGGCTTGGCGCTGAGTGTGGAGCCTGCTTGGGATTCTCTCTCCTTTTCCCTCTGTGCCCGCCCCCCACCCCCACACATGCACATGCACGCTCTCTCTCTGTCTAAAAAAAAAAAAAAAAAAATTGAAGATGCAGATTCAAACTCCTGCTTTGTCATTTACATGTCGCGTGAGCTTATAGATTGTTCACTTGTCAATTTATTTACTGTCAAAGGGAAAATATTGATGATACTTTAAATGGGATCATGGATGTTGAATATTGAGGATATCTGGGTCAGAGTAACCATTTGCTAAATAATAGCTGCTACTTCTATTCGTTTTTTGTTTTTTTTTTTTTAAGCTACTGCTCCCACTAATACCACCACTACTAACTGAGGTTAATAAGAAACCAAAGCAGTTGCTCTCATTTGGGTGCCTTGACTTCTAAATTATGTAATCACGGTCAACAGACTATGTAACAAAATAATTGTGGGTGTGGTCAGTAGGAAAATTAAGCATCTTTCTTTCCTACCTCTAAAATAAGAGCAAAGTAGGAAATGGGCTAAAAGGTTTAATAGATTACAAAAGCTCAACATCTTTTCAGTTGATTGTAAAACTTAGTATCTGTAAAATGTAGTTTTTCAATAAAACTGACATTTTCCAGATTGTAGACAAAAGGGATATTTAAAAACTTATTAAAAAAATTGTCTCTTAAAAAGGATACAGATTATAAACCAGTGCCACTGAAAGCAGGAGAGGGTGAAGATTATATGCTGGCCTTGAAACAGGAGTTGAGAGAAACTATGAAAAGAATGCCTTATTACATAGAAACACCTGAAGAAAAACAAGGTGGGTAATGGAATCTTTGATTATGTGGCTGAATGTATACAGATGAAACAGTGTTTCTACATAAGATACATAGTCATTTAATGCACTTATTGATTGGTTTAGTTCAATCAGAAATTATCCGCTACCTTGAAAAAGCATACTTAATGTTGATTTAACAGAAAAATGTATTTTAAACTTTTTGATATTTTATTTCTAAAATTACCTTTCAAGAGAAGTTTTATGTGTTTGGTGAAAATTATGAAAAACAGAAAAATATTAAAAAGTAAAAGTCACCTATAATGCTTATGTCTAGAGATCTGTTAATATTTTGTTGCATATTCTGGATTTTTTTCTTTTATATGTGTATTCTTTTTATAAAATTGGATTCATAGTCTTCGTATCTTCCTTTTTTACCCAAGAGCATGTTATTAGCCTTTTCACATATCCTTAGTATTCTTGGAAAATATGATTTTTAATGACTGTGTGGTATTTCATTGTGTGTATATAACATTATTTATTGTGAGTAGTTGCCTGCTGTTAGATTTAAAGTGTTTTTTTGCTCATATATGTATATAATGCAATGATTACTCTCCTTATACATAAGTCCTTATGTAAGTCTCTGATTTTTTAATATTTTGGTTAAAACTTTTAAAAGCCTTAACTATATTTTGGCTTATTATTTGTATATCAGACATAATAGGAAGCATAAAGCTTGTACTCATTGATTATGCCGAGGACAGAGAGGAGAAATTACAGTTGGAGAAGCTTGACAGTCTCAGGGAGTGGGAAGTGGTTTTAGAGGAAGAGAACCCATTCCTGAGTAGTTATTTAGCACAGTAGATCTATATTGATTTTCAGTTTCTGCCCTTGAATGTTGAAATTAGATCGATATCATCCTTGAGTTCCCAAAACAACATCATTAAAGCATGAGAAATTCATATAGTATCATCTCATTCCATTAGTATTAAAAATGCATTCCATTTTCACTCTCTGTAAAAGACTTAGAACTGGCTAAGAGTCAAAAAGAAAGTCTTATAGGGGTGCCTGGGTGGCTCCGTCCGTCATTAAGCGTCTGCCTTCAGCTCAGGTCATGATCTCAGGGTCCTAGGATCAAGCCCCTCATTGGGCTCCCTGCTCAGCGGGAAGCCTGCTTCTCCCTCTCCCACTCCCCCTGCTTGTGTTCCTTCTCTCACTTTGTCTTTCTCTGCCAAATAAATAAATAAAATCTTTAAAAAATAAAAAAATAAATGTTTAAAAAAAAAGTCTTATATAGTAATATATGTGCTTATAATTATAAGAAGCATTTTAGACAAGTTCATTGAATTTTTCAAACATAGCTGCTTGAAGTTGATATAATGGTTTCATAAGTCATTTTTATCTCAAAAATGCTGAATTTTTTTTAGTTTCATGATTATGTTGCATGCTTTTATCTATTTGATTCAAAAATGAAATTAAAGCTCTCATTTTAAAGATTTAAAAAAGTAAGATTAAATGAACTAATAAACATTCATTCTTAGAAAAAATAATAGTGTAGGGTATACTTTAATCTTTTTAAAATTAGTGTTTTCTCTAGACCATGGAACAGATTTACTTAACTAAATGTGGTCGTTATTAAAGCACATGTCTAATTTACAAGTATATCATTTTATTAAAGCATATCTGTGAGTCTTTTAAATAGCGACATTAGGAACATAATTTTGTTGCTGGTTTCTGGGAGTGGTTGGCTTGTATCTGGATTAAGAGGTTCTTTATCTTTGATAATTGCACAAAGTATTTAAAAATACAAAGAATCTTTGTTTCTTTTTCTTTCTGGAGAAAATGCTTGTATAAAATTTTCCAAATTGATACAAGTACATTCTCCTTCAAAATCTTCGTTTACTTTCTTTTCTGATGTAATGTGTTTTTAGAAAACTATGGTTGAAAATGAAGTTTTTTAAAAAGAAAATACACATATATACGCATGTATATAGGTTAATATAGTATTTACTATATATATACATGCGTATATATGTGTGTGTGTGTATTCTTATATATAAAGTGTTTATGTACTATGCACACCACAAATGAGAAAGAATTGGCCAGGCTGAACAGAAGTATGCAACTGTCAGAGAGAACTGTATTCTGGGTAGTGTTATATCACTGTACCTTCAGCAGACTTCTCCTATCCCTCACCACCTATATGCTTTAGAAAAGAGAGACTTAGGGACTCATGTAAATAAATAAGGGTAAGAGGTGTCAAGCCTTCCTGATAATTAAGTGGCTAGTGGCTCAGGGTATTGAGATCACAAAGAACTGAGGGCATAGAATGAAAATATTTCTTGTTGTGATATCTTTACAATTTGTTTATAATGTTCTTGGATAGAATTATAGAAATGATTGGTATTTCTTTATATAAAATTTGTTATCTCTGTAATAAAAGAAAAACACCAATGAATATTATTACTTTAATGGATTATAGCTGCAAGGGCGTATGGAGAGCATCTGATCCAATGGTTCCCAGCTCAGGTTCCTGAACCACTAGGGTCCAATGAGGTAGAAACAGGCGTGATAGTTGTGATGGTTCTGTAAGCCATTTTTAGAATTTCAAAAGCTTAATAGGAATTATACATTTACCTGCAGTATGGCCACAAGATCTGTTATTGAATAAATGGAGTTTGGTTTTTATTAACTGTCAATGTACCATCAGGGTCCATGAGACCCGATTTTGATTTTTGAGATTCTTTTTGAGCAATGATTGATATTCATAACTTTTATTTTTTAATAGAGATCTTCCAAAGAACAAAGAGAATTTATTTTAAAAATAGAAAGGGGGCACCTGGGTGGCTCAATCAGTTAAGCGTCTGACTCTTGATTTAGGCTCATGATCTCAGGGTCGTGAGATCCAGCCCCACATTGGGCTCTGCACTCAGCCTGGAGTCTGCTTGAGATTCTCTCTTTCCCTTTCTTTCTACCCCTCCCCCTGTTCAATAAATAAATAAAATCCTTTAAAGAATTTCTTTTTTAAATGAAAAAATAAAGAAAACTCATTTTATCTTAGCATTACCATATCGGCCTGTTGTATCCTTTTATAAATCAAAATACATTCTGGAATCTTAGTGATCTTATTTTTCCTTCATCTTTAAACATCTTGCTATTTCATCAGCATAGATACTATTTTATCATTACTTGTGAATTATCCCCCCATTCTGGAAAATAAAAGACTGAAATAATTAAAAAAAAAAAAGGAAGAATGATGAAGTTGCCTTGAAGGATGGTGCAGTATTGAAATAAATCACTATTACATTATCCTTTAGTGTTTCTTTTGTGTTGCCCAAAGTATTACATTAATTTTTAGGAAGCTATAAAAGAAGTCTAGAGAGACTCTTGTCTTTATAGTTGTTTTGGTTTTGGTTTTGTTTTCATAGAGTACAATTGAGAATCCAGAATTGTTCATTTTCAGCCCATAATGGCAAAGAGAAGAAAACTGACAGAGAAAGGTGTTACACTAGAGAAATCAGAAGATGAATGCAGATGCAGCAGCTCTTTGGGCACTAACAATGATTGTGAAATTGATTGTATAAGTGAAATCTCTGAGTCTTCAGATGAGAGTATTCTAGATGAATTTTCTCAAACTCAAGAGTCAATGGGTAAACAATATATCTCTAAGGATAAAAAGGAAATACAGTACTCTCATACAATTAGTCCTTGAAAAGCACCTCATCTCAATATTTTGTGATAAGAACTGGGAACATCCTGTTTGTTGAAATGACATGTGACCATATATTTTTTTTATGGTGTTTATGTACCAAAAGTCATTTGATGTAGTTTGTAACTGGACAAATGCTAAAGGCAAGAACAAAGATGATCAAAAGGAAATTGGTTATGTAGAAATGAAACCGTTTGTTGGATTGATCATGTTAATTGGTAATTATAAATTTAATAATGAAAATGTTTTACAATTATAGACCAAAGAAGATGGCTGGGCCATCCTCACTTCAACACAAATGTGAGCCATCAAAGCTTTTTTTTTTTTTTAAAGATTTTATTTATTTATTTGTCTGAGAGAGAGAGCGTGCTTGCACAAGCAGGAGGAGTGGCAGAGGGAGAGGGAGAAGCAGGCTCTTTGTTGAGCAGGGAGCCCGATGCCAGGCCCAGGACTCTGGGATCATGACCTGAGCCAAAAGCAGATGCTTAACTGACTGAGCCAGCGAGGCGTCACATCAGAGCTTTTTAAAGTATTACATTTTGACAATGCGAGTATAAGACGAAGAATTGGAAATAATAAGCTGGAACCTATTAGAAATGTATTTCTAATCTAGAGTCATTTTGATGGTGCAAGTGTGAGAAGAACCAGAAGTAACAAGTTGGAATTTATTAATAAAGGTATATTTGAAATCTGGAATCAGGATATATGAAATGTATATATTCAGAGTTTGTGCATGACAACTGTACATGCATTCCTAGAATGCACAGTTGATGCACAGTTAACTGCATTCAAAAGACATTGCCCATTTTGGGTAAACAGACATTCAAAACCAGGAAATAATGGAACATAAATTTGAGTTTAATATACTTAAGTTCTTATTGTAATTTCTAATAACTTTCTTTTTAAATAATAGCTTTATTGAGATAAAATTCATATATATAAAATATACTTTTTTTTTTGAGAGAGAGAGAATGAGAGAGAGAGAGCATGAGAGGGGGGAGGTCAGAGGGAGAAGCAGACTCCCTGCTGAGCAGGGAGCCTGATGCGGGACTCAATCCCGGGACTCCAGGATCATGACCTGAGCCGAAGGCAGTCGCTTAACCAACTGAGCCACCCAGGTGCCCCTAAAATACACTTCTTAAAATATACAATACAGTGGCTTTTGATGTAGTTACAGAGTGTGCAACGAACACTACTGTCTGATGTTTGGAACCTTAACGTCAACCTGAAAAGAAACCCTATACCTATTAGTATCACCCCTCAGTCTCCCCTGTCTTTAGCCATGGCAACCACTAATCTGCTTTGTCTGTAGTGATTTGTCTCTTCTGGACATTTCATATAAGTAGAATCATAGGGATGCTTGGCTGGCTCAGATCTTGGGGTTGTAAGTTCAAGCCCAATGTTGGGTGTAGAGATTACTTAAAAATGAAATCTTTTAAAAAAGGGAATCATAAAATGTGTCCTTTTATGACTGGCTTCTTTAACTTAGCATAATGTTTTCAGGGTTCACTGATGGTACAACTGGCTGAATAATATTCTGGTGTTTGTATATGCCACATTTGTATATGCCACATTTTGTTTATCCGTTCACCAGTTGATGGACATTTGGGTCAATTCCACTTTGGAGCTATCATGAGTAATGCTGCTTTGAACATTTATGTACATGTTTTTGAGTGGACATATGGTATTTCTATTGGGTATTTATCTAGGATCATATGGTAACTCTATATTTAACATTTTGAGAAACTGCCAAACTGTTTTCCAAAGTGCTTGCACCATTTTACATTACCAAAAATATATGAGGGTTCTAGTTTCTCCACACCCTTCCCAAAACTTGTTGGTTATAGTTTCTCCACACCCTTGCCTTTTTGGTTACAGCCATCCTATTGGGTATCAAGTGGTGTCTCATTGTGGTTTTGATTTGAGTTTCCAAAATAACTATGATGTTGAACATCTTATGTGCTTTTTTCCATGCATATCTTCTTTGGAGAAATGTCTATTCAAATCCTTTGTTTCTTTTTAACTGAATCTCAGTAGTTTTCAATATTGCTCATTCTTCTAAAGTTTAGTACTAAAGGTTAAATTTTTCCAAAATATGCAATCTGTTGTGGAGAAAATTTTTAAATGCAAATCTGTCATCTGTGTTGACTTCTCTTTACAGATGAAAAGCTTGAGAGCAAGATTGAAATCAAAACAGTTAAATACCTAGAAAAGCTTGATTTCTTGGTCTCGCTGATCTACTCTTTGAGTTATTTTTGTTTAACACTATGGTCTTAGTATTATTTGGAATCATGTTCTTAACATGGAAGAGAAATCAGTACATATTTGGGTCTTGTTTTTTATGTTGCATCTTTTGTATTACCTTCCCTATTTCATGGCTATACTCCTAAACCACATGTTATGATGAACCATGGTTTCACGCTATGGCATGATGGTGTTCCTTGCTAACTTAAGTTGCTAGGAAAGGGTTTGGGCCCTTATTAAGGGAGTTTCTTGTGGCAAAGTGGGCAAAGGAGAAGTAAGAGCCACTCCCATTTTGGGCAAGCACAGAAGGTCCCTGGAGAGTTGTCAGTAGTTGGTGTGGAAGACTTGCAGCTTGCTCATTCATACCCCATCAAGTCCAAACCTAGCTACTCCTCCCTTTTCCCCATTCTCCTCCTCTATGGGTTGTGAAGAGTAGCTCACTGAGAAGCCTGTGTATTAATGTGTGTATCAAGCACTGGAGGTGAGCATACAGCTCTCCATCTCCACTTAGGTAGTTAATACATCCCAGTTACATAAGATTTAAAGTATGGGAGCTGGAGGCTAGTGTCACAAAAAGGCTTTCTTGCCCATATATGTAAGTGGCTTCCTGACCTGGCTTTGGGCTTTAGTGAATATTCTCAGAGATGAGTCAGGTTGTCTGATTCTAAAAACCATGATTAGGGTTTAGGTCTCTGCTCACCCCCATCCATTCATACCCAGTTGCTTCTTGCCACTTCCTTAAATTTGTAATATTTATTGAACTTTTCAATAGGTGTTCAGGAACACATTATGTACAAATATAGGAAATTCCCTATGTGTGAAATAAAAGATGTTTGGGGGGGGTTGTTTTGTTTTTAAAGATTTTATTTCTTTATTTGACAGAGAACACAAGCAGGGGGAGTGGAAGAGGGAGAAGCAGACTCCCCACTGAGCAAGGAGCCCGACGTGGCGCTCAATCCCAGGACCCTGGGATCATGACCTGAGCCGAAGGCAGACACTTAACCGACTGAGCCACCCAGGCGCCCCGAAATAAAAGATGTTATCTGCTGTTTTCAGTTATGGCTTAAGGAATGGCTTATGTTCAGGCTTATTGTTGACTTCTCTAATGATAACTTCTTTTTTTTCTAGATATTGAAAGATATAGTAAAAGATACATGAAGGTGTACAAAGAGGAGTGGATACCAGGTAATTATAAAACTGAAAATATTAAAATAATTTTTAAAGTTTATCTCCCTACCCCATATTTTTTTAGGGAAAATTTTCTATTTTCACCATAGGAATTTTCACTGTAGGAAAATAGTCTGGCTCCTTTCCTATAATTAATTAGTAATGTATATCCTTTGAAAACTAGGATAAAAAGACTTTTATACTGTAACAAGGAAGAGTTAAAGTGTTTTTGAAGTTCTTAAAATACTTTTTTATAAAATAGGACTTGCCAAACCCATCTGGGTTTTCATTTCCATTTGCCACAAACACAATTTTAATCTACAGTACCAATAATACTTCCATGTTTGTGAGTGATTTTACAGCTTTTGAGGAGAAAACAAGTCTAGTTAAAGGATACCAAAATCATGGATCTTCCTTTCTTTCAAGCAGACATAGACTACTTTTATTTGTTAAGATGCCTTTTCAATAGAAACATATCTAAGAGAGTTTTTTTCAACGTTCACAAATTTTCCTTAGACAGAGGCAAGATGGAAGAGGCTAGAGAGATTTCATCCAGCTCTTTCATTTTGCAGATAAAGAAATGTTGCCATAGAAATGGAGTGATTTATCAGGGTGACTTGGACAGTACTACTAGAACCTAGGTCTTCTCATTTTAACTCACTTCTCTTTGACTTCTCTGTCCTTGGTGTTTCATGGAAACTGCCTTTATGTAAGAGCATAAATGGCATTTATAGCATTATTGCTTAAATGGGTTATAGTGGCCTTTTCAGTGTGGATCATTGATAAAGTTGGATTCTCTTTCAACACTCTCCTATCTCCTATCTCAGATCTTTCCTATCTGCCACATCATAAATATTTATCTCCTGAATGATTCTCTTTACATACTTTTTCATGATCATCTATGAATCACTTGTAAAAGCAGAAATATAGTCAAAGCCAAATTTATTAGTTCAGGTAAAATAGCTTGAGATACAAATGCTTTCTACAAAATATACTGAGTTTTTATTAGCGCAGTATTTTTTAATCCATTCTCATGTTGCTTCATTTTTCTGATTAATTCTGTGCTTAAAAAGAAAAGAAAGTGGGATCCCTGGGTGGCTCAGTCAGTTGAGCATCCGACTCTTGGTTTTGACTGAGGTCATGATCTCAGGGGTGGGATCGAGCCCCGCACAGGGCTCCACACTCAGCGAGGAATCCCTTCCGCTCATGTACTCTCTCTCTAAAATAAATAAATAATTCTTTAAGAAAATTAAAAGAAAGTGGCAAATTAGAGGAATTGTTCAACTAAGGCAAATATTTTTTTAAAAGATTTACTTATTTATTTGAGAGAGAGTGCAGGGGGTGGGGCCAGGGGAGAAGGAGAGAGAGAATCTCAAGCAGACTCCCCACAGGGCTCGATCTCACAACTCTGGGATCATGACCTGAGCCAAAACCAAGAGTCTGAGACTCAAGTGACTGAGCCACCTACATGCCCCCAGGAAAAATTATTTATTAAAGAGAATTTACTTTTCCTTAGCTATTTATATTTTTAATTATAAAGTTTTGGATAATTATTAGAATTGTTTATTTAATTTTGCATGTGTTGGGATTGTGGTCACATATTTTAACTTTTGAAAAATATCAACTATAGAAAACTTAATCCTAAAACCCACAAATAATTATTATAATATTTTGTTCCCAACCTAGAGGTTTCTCTGTACAAATATTAAATATATAAAGATATTTATATATTAGGTTTATTTTTTAATGGGATTCTATACATATTATTTTAGAAACTTTTTTTATCAAACAATATATCATGAATAACTTCATAAAAATTTTCTTACATTATTTTTCTTGTGATGAAAATTTCTGTATTTAAAATTGATTAAATACTGTGTAGCTGTTGAAAGGATGTTGTAGAAATTTTATAGCACTACTTCAAAGGTTTTTTTTGTTTATTTTTTTTAATAATCTCTGCATTCAATGTGGGGCTCGAACTCACAACCCCAAGATCAGTGTCACATGCTCTACTGACTGAGCCAGCCAGACGCTCCCAAAGTTTTTTTAATGAACTTTCTCTTTTTTGTAGGAGAAAACATACTACAATTATATTTCTGTACAGTTAGATATTAAGAAATTATTTTCATTACAGAAGCAACTGTGATGTCCTTTATTTATTTTTTTTAAAGATTTACTTTTTTTATTTGAGAGGGTGTGGATAGAGGGAGAGGAAGAGAGAATCTTAAGCCCTGATCTGGGGCTCAATCTCATTACCCTCAGATCATGACATAAGCTGAAACCAAGAGTTGGATGTTTAACCTACTGCGCCACCCAGGTGCCCCTGTCATGTCCTTTATTTTTTTTTAAAGATTGTATTTATTTATTTGAGAGAGAGAGAGAGAGAAAGAATATGAGTAAGGGGAGGAGCAGAGGGAGAGGGACAAGCAGACTGCCCACTGAGCAGGGAACCCAACTCAGGGTTCTATCCCAGAACCCTGACATCATGACCTAAGTCAGATGCTTCACTGACTGAGCCACCCAGGCGCCCCCTGTCATGTTCTTTAAATAGTCATGTTGAGTGCCACTAATCCCTAGAGGAAATTTCAATTTTTGTATTTTTTTTCTCTTTTGTACACACAGATTGGAGAAGACTTCCAAGAGAAATGATGCCAAGGAAAAAGTGCAAAAAAGGTACATTGACTAATGTAATAATCCAGGTTAAAAAAGGTTATTGCTCAAATTCTAATTATGAAATTATCAATCTGAAGTTACACTCAGTGTTCTGAATGCTTTTTCTTAAAATGTGTTTGGCATTTGGTTATTTCGTTAAAACTTTTTGTTGTTGATTTTTGTTTTGTTTTTGTTTGCTTAGTTGTTTTTCTTTTCTTTAATTATGGAATTTTGATGTGCCAAGAAAGACTTCTTACGTATATAGACATTTTTTTTAATTTGAAATTTAGCATATCTGAAACTTTTTTAATGGTTATGCTATCTATATTTTAATTTTTTCAATTAATTAACATATATTATTAGTTTCAGAGGTAGAGGTCAGTGATTCATCAGTCTTACATAATACCCAGTGCTCATTACATAATGTGCCCTCCTTAATGTCTGTCATCCGGTTACCCCATCCCCCAACCTCCTCCCCTCCAGCAACCCTCAGTTTGTTTCCTGAGGTTAAGAGTCTCTTATGGTTTGTCTCCCTCTCTGATTTCATCTTGTTTTATCTTTCCTCTCTTCCCCTATGATCCTCTGTTTTGTTTCTTAAATTCCACATACCAGTGAGACCACATGATAATTGCTTTTCTCTGATTGACTTATTTTGCTTAGCATTATACCTTCTAGTTCCATCCATGTTGTTGCAAATGGCAACAGTTCATTTTTTGATGGCTGCGTAATATTCCTATATATATACACACACCACATCTTTATCCATTCATCTGTCAATGGACATCTGGGCTCTTTCCATAGTTTGGCTACTGTGGACATTGCTGCTATAAACATAGGTGTGCAGGTGCCCCTTTGGATCACTACATTTGTATCTTTGGGGTAAATACCCAGTAGTACAGTGGCTGGGTCATAGGGTAGCTCTTTTTTCAACTTTTTGAGGAACCTCCATACTGTTTTCCAGAGTGGTTGCACCAGCTTGCATTCCCACCAACAGTGTAGGAGGGTTCCTCTTTCTCCGCATCCCTGCCAACATCTGTCATTTCCTGACTTGTTCATTTTAGCCATTCTGACTGGTGTGAGGTGTTACTGCATTGTGGTCTTGATTTGTATTTCCCTGATGATGAGTGATGTTGAGCATTTTTTCATGTGTCTGTTGGCCATTTGGATGTCTTCTTTGGAGAAATGTCTGTTCATGACTTCTGCCCATTTCTTTGATTGGATTATTTGTTCTTCTGGTGTTGAGTTTGATAAGTTCTTTGTAAATTTTGGATACTAGCCCTTTATCTGATATGTCATTTGCAAATATCTTCTCCCATTCTATTGGTTGTCTTTTGGCCTTGTCAACTGTTTGCTGTGCATATATTTTAAGTTTTTAACTAAAACATTAGGAACTGGTAAAATTTGGGAACTGTTAAATTAGAACTTTATGTTGTACATAAAATACCAAAGTGAAAGTTTCCAATGTGTTGTTCTTTCATAATTCCACTGAGTAAAAAGTTGTTGAGCATCTGCTATTGCCAGACACTGTGCTAAAAGGAATAAAACAGTGAGCAAAGTGGGAATAATCCTTGCCCTAATGGGGCTTGCAGTCAAATGGAGTAAAAACATTAAACAAAAGCACAGTGACCTCATTGGGAGGTCAGGGGAGTTCCTTTGAGGACATGGAATTGGAAGTCAATATTGCAAGATGAGTAGGAGTTTACTAAGATGTGGTCAGGGGAAGAACGTTGGAGAAAGACCAGGTTTGTGAGGGGAAAGTCATGAGTTCAATTTAAAAAGGTGGTCTTTAAGGTTCCTTTGAAATATACCAGTAGAAATGTTAAGCATGTTGTTGCATACAGGGAGGTGGACCTCAAAATGGAGAAGATAGTGATCAGCATAGACACTATAATTGAAATTATGAGGAAGGAAGGATGAGATTGTCTAGGGAGAAATTAGAGAATTAGAAAAAATGAAGACCTAAGCCTAAGCTTGGAGGAATGCCAAAATTTAATAGGCTGGTAGAGGAGATTTAATCAGCAAAGAAAGGAGATGGAAAGAAAGAGAGAGGGGAGGGAGAGAGGAGAACCCAATGGGGTAGAGTTACAGAAGTGAGAGTATGCAAGAAGTAGAGACTATTTCCAGGCACCCGGGTGGCTTAGTCAGTTAAGTGTCTGCCTTGGGCTCAGGTCATGATCCTGGGGTCTTGGGATCATGTCAGGCCATGTCAGGTTCCCTGCTCAGTGGGGAGTCTGCTTCTCCATCTTCTGCTCCTCCCCCTGCTTGTGCTTTCTCTCTCTCTCTCTCTCTGTCAAATAAGTAAATAAAATTTTAAGAACAAAAAAGAAGTAGAGACTATTTCAAAAGGTGGTCAACAGGTTAAAGGAGGTTAAACAAAGTTGCTGTGAGGTCAAGTAGGATAAAGATTGGAAAATGCAAACTAATTTTTGACATGTTGATCATCATTGACCTCAGTGAGAGTTTTTTTCTTTTTTTAAAGATTTCATTTATTTATTTATTTAGAGCATGTGGCGGGGGGCAGGGGGAGAGGGAAAAAGCGAAACTCAAGCAGACCCTGAGCTGATGTAGGGCTCAATCTCACAACCCTGAGATCACGACTTGAGCCAAAATCAAAAGTCGGATGCTTAACTGACTGAGCCACCCAGTCACCCCTCAGTGAGAGCTTTCTAAAGGATTTGTAAGGGTGGAATTCAGATTGGAATAGGTTAAACAGTAAATGAGAATTTCGGAAAAGGGGACAGCTAGCATAAATGAGTGTTTGGGGAATTTGGATATAAAGAATAAAGAGAGAAAAAGGGAAGTAGCCAGAGGCGCCTGGGTGGCTCAGTCAGTTGGGCATCTGTCTTCATCTCGGGTCATGATTCCAGGGTCCTGTTATTCAGCCCTGCATCAGGCTCCCTGCTCACTGGGGAGCCTGCTTCTCCTTCTCCCTCTGCCATTCCCCCTGCTTGTAATCTCTGTAAAATAAAATAATTAATTACTTAACTTTAAAAAAAAGGGAAATAGCTAGAGAGGTTAATAACAATGAGGTTAGAAACGAAGGGAAGAGAAGAAATTCCCCCACCCGTTGCCCCTCTCTTTTTATTGGGACGGGTATTTTGCATTTTGCTTTTTAATAGACTTCATTTTTAGAGCAGTTTTAGAGTCACAGGAAAATTGAGCAGATAAGTACAGATTTCCCATATGCTCTCTGCTACTACACATGCATAGTCTCCCCCATTATTAACATCCCCTACCAGAGTGGTACATTTGTTACAATCAGTGATCCTACCTTGACATATCACTATTACACAGAGTCCATAGTTTACTTTAGGATTCACTCTTCTTATTATACATTCTATGGGTTTTGGCAAATGAACATGACCATTGTATTATCATAGAGAGTACTTTTACGGCTTTAAAAATTCTCTGTGCTCTGCCTTATCATCCCTTCCTCCTCCTTACCCCTGGCAACCACTGATCTTTTTACTATCTCCATAGCTTTGCCTTTTCCAAAATGCCATATAGTTGGAAGCATACAGTATGTAGCCTTTTCAGATTGGCTTCTTTTACTTAGTTATATGCATTTCGGTTTCCTCCATGACTTTTCATGGCTTGACAGCTCATTTTTTGTTAGCGCTAAATAATATTCCATTGTCTGGTTGTGCCACAGTTTATTTATCTATTTACCTACTGAAGGTCATCTTGATTGCTTCCAAGATTTGGCAATTATGAATAAAGTTGCTATAAACATCCATTGTTGTGTGGACAACATAAGTTTTCAGCTCCTTTGAGTAAATACCAAGGAGGATGATTGCTGGACTATATGGTAAGAATATGTTTAGTTTTGTAAGAAACCACCAGACTGTCTTCCAAAGTTCCTCCACCATTTTGCATTCTCACTAACAACCAATGAGAGTCCCTGTTTTTATTTTATTTATTTATTTAGTTTTTTTTTTTTTTTAAGATTTTATTTATTTGACAGAGAGAGACACAGCAAGAGAGGGAACACAAGCAGGGGGAGTGGGAGAGGGAGAAGCAGGCTCCCCACCGAGCAGGGAGCCCGATGCGGGGCTTGATCCCAGGACTCTGGGATCATGACCTGAGCCGAAGGCAGACACTTAACGACTGAGCCACCCAGGCACCCCGAGAGTCCCTGTTTTTACACATCCTGTCTAGCATTTGGTATTGTCAGTGTTCTGGATTTTGGCCATTCTAATAGGTGTGTGGTAGTATCTCACTACTGTTTTAATTTGCATTTCCGTGGTGACATATGATGTGAAGCATCTTTGTAAATGCTTACTTGCCATTTGTGTATCTTGTTTGACAAGATGTCTGTTAAGGTCTTTGGCCCACTTTTTAATGTTTTTTTGTGTATGTGTATGTTCCAATCAGATGAAGAGATAGATAGGGCAAAGTCTAGAAGGGTTCTCAGCACAGGAACTTCTGTCCCTGTGGACCTGGGGTGCACCACCTTCCCAGTATGTGGATGTGCTTACCAACCTGGAAACTCCTCAAATCCCCATACTTTGGGGATTTTTATAGAGACTTCATCACATAGGTATGATCACTCATTAACTCAATCTCCAGTCCCTCTCCCCTTTCCCAGGAATTGGGGAATGGAGCTGAAAATTCCAGTCTTTTAATCATGGTTTGTTCTGTCTTGTGACCACCCTCCATCTTGAAGCTATCCAGGAGCCCACCAAGAGTTGCCTCCCTAGAACAAAAGACACTTCTATCACCCAGTAAATTCCAAGTGATTAGGAACTCTGTCAGGAACCAGCTTCAAAGACTAAATATTAGAACAAAACATCCTCCTAGTGTTCTTATTACTTAGGACATTATAAGAGTTTTAGGAGTTCTGTGCCAGGAACGAGAAATATATATTGAGACCAATATATATTTTTTTCCATTATTTCACACAGTCCTTTATCAGATATATCTTTTGCAAATATTTTCTCCCAGTCTGTGGTTTGTTTTCTCAGTCTCTTGACATTATCTTTTGCAAGGCAGAATTTTTAAATTTTAATGAAGTCTGACTTATTAGTTATGTCTTTCATAGATCATAGCTTTGGTGTTGAATCTAAGAAGTCATCACCAAACTCGAGGTAATCTAGATTTTCTCCTATGTTATCTTTTAAGAGTTTTATAGTTTTTAGTTTTATGTTTTGCATAACTCAAAATGTGATCCATTTTGAGTTAATTTTGGTGAAGGGTGTAAGGTCTACCTAGATTCATTTTATGCATGTGGAAGTTTAGTTGTTCCATCACCATTTGTTGAAAAGACTATCTTTTCTCCATTGTACTACCTTTGCTTCTTTTTCTATATTTATGTGGGTCTATTTCTGGGCTCTCTCTTCTGTTCCACTGACCTGTGTTTATTCTTTCCCCTTTATCACACAGTCTTGATTACTATAGCTTTAGAGTATGTTTTTAAAGTCCAGGATTGTCAGTGCTCCAATTTTGTTCTTTCCTTCAATATTGTGTTGGCTCTTCTGGATCTTTTGCTTCTCCAAACAAACATTAGAAACAGTTTGTTGATACTGAAAAATAACTTACTAGGATTTTGATTGAGATTGCATTGAATCCATAGATGAAGATGGGAAAAACTATCATCTTGACAATACTGAGTCTTACTATCCATGAACATGGAATATCTCTCCATTTATTTAGTCCTTTGACTTCATTCTTCAGTTTTGTGGTTTTCTTCATATAGACTGTATACATACTTTGTTAGATTCATATCTAAGTATTTCATTTTGGGGGGTGCTAATGTAAATAGTATTAGATTTTTAATTTCAAATTCCACCTGTACATTTTTGGCATATAAGAAATATATATTGACTTTTGTGTATTAACCTTGTATCCTCAACCCTTCTATAATCACTTATTAGCTTCTAGAGTTTTTGGCTCATTCTTTCAGCCAAAAATTGACCTTTGTGTATTAACCTTGTATCCTGCAACCCTTCTATAATCGCTTATTAGTTTCCAGAATTTTTGGCTCATTCTTTCAGATTTTCTGCATAGATGATCATGTCATCTGTGAATGAAGACAGTTTTATTTCTTCCTTCCCAATCTGTTGAAAGCAGTGGTAAGAGAGAACTTTCTTGCCTTGTTCCTAATCTTAGTGTCAAACTTTTCACCATTAAGTATGATGTAGCTATGGGTTTTTTTTTATAGCTATTCTTTATCAAGTTTAGGAAATTCCCCTCTGCTCCTTATTTACTAAGAGTTTTTAGTCATGAATGGGTGTTTGATTTTGGAAGGTTGAACCATCCTTACATACCTGTGCTAAGTCCTACTTAGTCGTGATGTATTTATTATTCTTTCTATACATTGTGGCATTGGATTTGGAAATACTTTGTTGAAGATTTTTGCTTATATGTTCACGAGAGATATTGGTTTTCTGTTTCCTTTCTTGTAATATTTGTCGGGTTTTGGTGAGGGTAATGTTAGCCTCGTAGTATGAGTTAGGAAGTATTGCTTCATCTCCTGTTTTCTGAAAGAGATCCCCCTCCCCTTTTTAATAGATTTATTGAGTTATCTTTGACATATAATAAAATGCATATATTTGAAATATATAATTTGGTAAGTTCTAACATGTATATTTATATGTTATATGGTAAGTTCTAACATATATATAAACTAATATTTTTATTTTGTTTCATCTCAGAACTACAATTTATAAGAATATTTAGCTTGCTTGAGTACAAAATATTATATTTTAAAAAGCCCAAAATATTGTATGTTGAGATATAATGGTTTATCTGCTCTCTTTATACCTTTGGCTTTTATCGGGCAAATATATTATTTTTACAGTATAATGTGCATTAGTGATACTGGTCATGTCCTGGTGGATCACAAATTTGCAGCAGACTTTAAAAGGCCAAAAAGAATGTATCTGATTTGGAAAAATTATTATTTTCAAATACGTCCCACTGACTGCTTATCCCTGGAACTTTATATGCACATTGATTATTAGTAAGAACGTCCAATGTGTCAGAATTTCCATTTGTTAAAAAATAAAACAACCACCACAAAACTTTCTGTTTCCACTCTGAGCTTTTTTTTTTTTATATTGTTTAATTTTCGTGTTTTATTCCTGATAAACTTATACTCTCTCCTTTATTAAAATGATCTCCACTGATTTACATGAAAGTAAACAGTACCCAAAGAGCCAAAGGCTGAAAAAGTTTGCTTTTTGAAGAACCAGCTATTGGCAGGTATTGAAAGAAACCAAAAAAATTTTCAAATATATGTATGTATTTGGCCAAAGATGGGGAAGATAATGCATGTTTTGGGGTTAAAACAGTCTTTTAACAAATTTTGGTAATTTTTTTTGAAGATTTATTTATTTTAGAGAGAGAGTAAGAGACCTGGTGAGTGGGGGGAGAGACAGACGGAGAAGGAAAGGGAGAACATTTTAAGCAGACTCCCCGCTGAGCATGGAACCCAACTCTGGGCTCTGTCTCACAACCAGTCAAAACCAAGAGTCGGACACTCAACCCACTGAGCCACCCGAGCATCCCAACAAATTCTGGTAATTTGACACTTGTCTCCCAGTTATACGTAATAGAATTTGTGATTATATAAAACCAGATTGATAAGTTGCAAAAGATGCTTAGGGGCCTTTTGGCAACTGACTTTCTTAGTTAAAAGATCAGTAGCTTTTTATTTTTATTTTTTTAATTTTTTAATTTTTAATTTTTTTTTTTAAGATTTTATTTATTTATTTGACAGAGAGAGACACAGCAAGAGAGGGAACAGAAGCAGGGGGAGTGGGAGAGGGAGAAGCAGGCTTCCTGCGGAGCAGGGAGCCCAACGCGGGCCTTGATCCCAGGACCCTATGATCATGACCTGAGCCGAAGGCAGACGTTTAACGATTGAGCCACCCAGGTGCCCCATTATTATTATTTTTTTTAAAGATTTTATTTATTTATTTGAGAGAGACAGAGATAGTGAAAGAGAGCACAAGCAGAGAGGAGAGGGAGAAGCAGGCTCCCTACTAAGCAGGGAGCCCGATGTGGGGCTCAATCCCAGGACCCTGGGATCATGACCTGAGCTGAAGGCAGACGCTTAACTAACTGAGCCACCCAGGTGCCCTGCCCCATTTTTTTTTTTTTAGATTATTTATTTAAGAGAGAGAGCAAGCTGGGGTGAGGGGCAGAGGAAAAGAGAGAATCCTGAAGTCGACTTCCTGCTGAGTGTGGAGTCTGACATGGGGCTCAATCCCAGGACCCTGAGATCATGACCTGAGCTGAAATCAAGTTAGCTGCTCAACCGACTGAGCCACCCAGGCACCCCAAGAGATCAGTAGTTTCTAATAAGTTTATTTACCTGACCATGTTCTATAATACCCATTTAACAGACTTATGTGTTAGGAAACTTAAATAATTCAACAAAAGATCCTTAGAGAAAAAGACTTCATGTGTGAGTAAATTACATTCTTAGCTAATGTTTTCTGGCATCCATATTATAGTATATATTGAGATCTAGTTAATGTATGATACTACATTTTATGTGCTACAGTTCAAATTAAACAGTCTTTACCCTCAAGGGGAACAGAGAAAGTTACCCATTATTAAATCTGTTCTTTTTTTCTGAGCAAAACTTCACAAATATATATGTTGGGGTTCTGAGCTCAGTGACTCCCTGGGGGGCAGTTTGGTATAACACAGTAAATTGTAATTCTGTCAGTTATGGGTCATCTACCACAATCTAGAAATTTCCTCTTCTATAGTTTAAATGTTAATCTTTAACAAAATTACATCTTTCTGAGTCATATTTTCCTCTGTTACCAAGTAATTTCTAGGTATTTAGTTTGATTTTGGGAAAGGACTATTGTACTTTTTGATCACAATGGGGCAATTTTGTAGCATATTATAATGCCTTGGTAACTGACTGGCTGGATCTATATGTGAGAATTTATAATTCTCCATTCCCTGCAGTTGTAGAATAGCCTCAAATGCATTATTTTATATATGGCTTAAAAAAAAAAAATCCCAAAGCCATTAAAACATTTTATTTATATTGCTTTGAGTTTTCAGATTCATATAATGGGTGTGATTAGTTTAACCATTTTAATCTTCATTCCAAAGATGAGGCTTATCTTGCAGGAATATAATTCCTTTCTCATTTCTTTAACCAGTGACAAATGCATATTTATTCTGCAGTTGTTTTTTATTTTCCAAACCTGGTCAAATTGCCCTAGTTAAAATAAAGTATACTGATCAGTGAACAGGAAAGCCAATGCAGATGATATATTGGTGAGAGTCTTCCACTGGTCCTCTGATGCTTCTACCTGAAGTAACATTTTAGTAGTTTAGGCCTTAATAACATTACTTTCCAGTACAGATTTTCAGTATTGGTAAGATATCTGGTTACGGTGTTAGAAAACATCCTGTTAAGTGATTATCCTTTACTCCTCATCATGGAAAATTGGTGAGGTGTGCTGACTTATTTTGTTATTCTTTAAGAAAATCAATTCGGTCTGCAAATTATGTGAGTGCCCGCTACGACGTATCACTATGCTAGACAGCATATGAAAAGGCAAAGATGTAATACACAGTTGCTGTTACAGAAATATGTCTTAACAGTGGTTTTACTTCAGCAGGCCCCAAATCCGAAAAGGTGAAAGATACGGGCAAAGGTGCTTCACTCACTAATACTGCAGATGTGTTGAAAAAAATCGAGGTAAGGTTTTCTCCATGCTATACGAGCAAGCTGAAGAAGCGTCACGCCTCCTTTCACCTTGTTCAGTCTTTCCGCCTTCTCTCTTTTAATAATATGTGGATTTGGCAGAACCAAGCCCAGCACACAGGGTACCTGGAAAGATCTGAACACTGTTGGCTGGAGATAAAGAACCTCCATCCTGTCCTTCTTCACCACTTACCTGTCACCTTACGTTACCCTCTGTCACCTACTTCCTTTTCCGTGTATTTGCTACTTTCCCCTTACATTGGAATTATGTATGGGAAAGAAACACGAAAGAGTTACATACCAAAAATGTATTTCTTTTAAAAAACCTCTCATTTTTTTCCTGTTATTATACATGTGCTTTTTTAGTGCTTTTTTTTCTGTCTCATGGTAAGTGTAGAAGATTCTATTGAGAAAAAGGCACATCTTATGGAACTAATTTTATACCTTCATTGTTTTTAATATTTCAAAACTAGAAAGATAAAAAATCCAAAATGTTAATAAACTAAAAATTTGCCCTCCCATCCCTCTCCCTAACCATCCAGTTTCCCTCTTGTAGACAACCAGTATTACCAGTTTCTTATAGCTAGATCTTTCAGAAATACTTTATGCATAACAAATAACAGGTTTTTTCTTTTTAATGACAAAAGCTAACATATTACATTCTTCTGCATTTTCATTTTATCATTTATAATCAATGGAGATGGCTCTAAGTCTATAGAGTTTGCCTCATTCTTTTTTTTTCTTTTTTTTCTTTTTTGGCTGCACTTTAAGAATGAACCATAATTTATTTAACCAGTACCCTATTGATGGACATAATGTTTCATCTAGAATTTTGCTATTATAAACAGTGGTGGAGTGAATTCATATTAAGTATACCATTTTACATCTATAGAGTAGATTTCTTGAAGTGGATTTCTTGGGTCAGTTATGTGTATTAGATAATATGGATAAATATTGACAGATCACTCTCCACGGAAGTTATGCCAATTTATTCCCACTGTCCATGCATATGTTACCTTGCCTTGATGCTAATGATGATGATGATAATGATAACAGCTAGCACTTATTGAGAACTTATTATGTACCAGGCTCTTTGATGAAAGCTGTTTACATGCATTATGTCCTGAAGACTTCATAACAACAAAGAGAGATGGGTAATATTTTTCCTTACTTACAGATAAGGAGGTCAAGGCTTTAAAATTTTTACTTGCCTGGTCAAGTTGGCATTGCCATGTGATAACAGAAACTCATATTTTTGTTATTTTATTTTTTGGCCAGTACTTGAGCTGGAAATAACATATCTGAAAATAAGGCCAGGAGGATATTGAAACAATAGTGGTAACTGTCAGGTTTAACTGTGTGGGATGATGAATGGGGTTGCAGAACTAGCCAACTTGTATTGATTGAACACAGATTCTGACTCTTCTTAAAGCTTCCTGGAAAGAAGTTGCTAAGATGACATATGCTATAAGGAAGATTGATCAGAATATGGATTCTCATCAGAACAAATTGTGTTTCCTGATTTTCTACATTTAAACACCTTTTTCATTTTGCACATTGTTAAAATTGAAGTTTTAAATCCGGAACTCTAAATGAGTTCACTTTATTATCTCTCAGTTAAAGAGCAAAATTAGCTTCTGGATGACTCTATTATTGTTCATTTCTTCACCAAAAGTAGTTTTAAGTTTTATTATAATAAAACTTCTGTGGATGGAGAGGAAGTAACAGACAGTCAAATCTCATGATTAATGTGTGAATAATCAGACAGCAGTAAACTAATATTTGAGCCTATGTCTGCTTGACTTACAGGAAGCTCTCTGTATAGGTTGGCTGCATATTATTTAAACTAGAAGAACTATTCCCTCTCTATAAGTTAACTGTTTGCAAAGTGTTTTCACATCGTGTTAATCACATTATTCTTAAAACAAATCTGTAAGGTAGTAGTAAATACTTAAATCTCACAGAGGAGAAAATGGAGACTAATAAGTAGACAAACCAAAACTAGTAGCTTGGCACAAAAAGAAAAAAGTAATGAGACAATGTGTGTGGCTCTGCGATCATTTTTTTTAATTGCATAAATCTACTATAGGTAACTGATTCAAGTATTTTATGGGTTTGATTTAGGTCTATGTGATACAAATAAAGTTGTTACTTTTTAAAAAATATTCAAGGTTACAGTAATGGAAATAAAGACTTTCCTACTCCTACAGAGCAGTGAATGTTTTTTTATATTTTAAAAACATGTTCCATAGTTGGTTTAAATATGTTTATTGCTAATTATGAAATAATAGCTAATAGCAGGATTTTTCAGATATAGTATATACCTTGCACAGAGTTTAGTAAGTATAGCACTGCATTTCCCTTTTAACTACACAAAATTTATAGGTTGTAGGCCTCTTTACTGCAATTTGATTAAAGTAGAAAAGAAAAAACTCCATATGTTAATGTCAACATAGCATCATTATTTGTGGGTATGTGTGTGTGTGTATTTATAGACACTTCAGAAGATCTATAAACACTATTTTGTTTACTTGCAATTTTCCAAAGGGATTGTCTATTGGAAAAATTGCACTCGTTATATTATAGTAATAACTCATATAAGGCAACATGGGTCAGTGTGAAGATAAATCATCATATGTCTATTACCTTGGTTTTATTTGTTCTGCCTCAGTGGGATGAGGTAAAAAAAGGTGGAATTTGAATTTTTTTTTAAGATTTTATTTGTTTATTTGACAGAAAGAGAGAAAGCACAAGCAGGGGGAGCTGTGGAGGGAGAGGGAGAAGCAGGCTTCCTGCTGAGCAGTGAGCCCAATGTGGGGCTCAGTCCCAAGACTCTGGGATCATGATCTGAGCCGAAGGCAGACGCTTAACTGACTGAGCCACCCAGGCACCCCAGAATTTGAATTTTGATTAGAAATTGAATCTATCTGATGTAGTGTTTTTATTGCCTTTGATTTCCTTAAATTCAAACTTGAATATAATTAAAGGGATTTTAATTGGAGGGGGAGACGAACCATGAGAGACTATGGACTCTGAGAAACAAACTGAGGGTTCTAGAGGGGAAGGGGGTGGGGGGTTGGGTTGGCCTGGTGATGGGTATTAAAGAGGGCACGTACTGAATGGAGCACTGGGTGTTATACGCAAACAATGAATCATAGAACACTACATCAAAAACTAATGATGTAATGTATGGTGATTAACATAGCATAATAAAAAAAAATGGGGAAAAATAAATAAAAATAAATACTTAAGAGCCAGTAAAGGAATAGCTAAATTGTAGTCACTCCAAATACAAAATGTGTTTTCTCTCTATATGTAATCTACAAAGCAAAAATAATAGGATGGAGCATTTGCAGCCATATGAATTAATGTTCTCATTATTGTTTAGGAATAATCATATCTTAGCTAAAGTGATCCTGAGCTTTAATTATGAGTATTAACATAGGGGCACCTGGCTGGCTCAGTTGGTAGAGCATGCAACTCTTGATGTCAGGGTGGTGAGTTCAAGTCCCATATTGGGCATAGAACTTACTTTAAAAATAAATAAATAAATAAATAAATAAATACAACATAGACATTTTTGAAATGTTACCATTACATTCTCTTTTTTCCTTTCATGTTGGAGAGATAACAAAATGGCATTCTGAAAGTTTCTATGAACTGAATCAATTCAGTATTTTAGAAGGAGGTAGGATACAAACCATAAAAATAAAGCGTTGTGCTTAGAGCTGATACCAAGCCATCCCTGAGACCCAGTTATGAAGTAACAAACTCAATGAAAATACTAGTATAGTGACAGGACAGAGAGGTCCTCCTTTGTTGCGTGAACTCACAGCTTCCCAGGTAGTGGCCTGGAGGATTAGAATGAGGTGATGGGTAACTGTGTTTTCTTGAGGCTAAGCAGGGAGTCAAAGTCTAGTGGTTTCCATTTAAATTAATGAAGCTCATTTATGCCAGGAATTGGAAAAGAGAGATGATGGTGAAAAATCAGATGAGGAAAATGAAGAGAAAGGAGGAGGCAAGGAGAAAAGTCAAGAAGGCGACGAGGAGGACGACGACGCCGCAGAACAAGAGGAATATGATGAAGAAGAGCAAGAAGAGGTAATGACGTTACTAAGTTGAAGGGTTATCTAATGAGGAACCAGATATATGCTATATAATTAAAATAACAAACCAAAACCCAGTTGGGATATATCATTATCACTGGTATCAGTTCCTTAGTGTCAGGAGGATTATTAGAGCATTGAAATGATACCAAAATGAATCTAGGAGGTAAGAGTAACTTGATAGACAACTTTGTAAGTGGAAGTCCACAAGTGAAGCAAATCGATCAGATTAGTTTATCTACCTAAAATTTTTGATCTGCCATTACTATAATTAAGGACTTAGTCATTTAGGGTCTGAAGAGGCAATCACTGCCATACCATCATGTTTCAAATCCCAAAGTGCATGTGGACACTGCCAGAGAACAGTGATGATCTAATCTCCAGTATCTGACTGAGTTAGGACTTAGTGGTTTGGATCTGGGATTTCTAACTTCTAGAAACATGGTGCATTTCAAAATAAGCTAGAGCCAATCAGGGTGTTTTTGAGCAGGGTAACTTTGTTGGTCATAGCATCTTTGGGACTTAGTATACACCTCATGCAGTAACCCTATGCTGGGAGTTTCTTCGCCATAGCAGTGAACTTTGTCTTCACTCCATTTCAGCTTCCCACATGACGCTGAATCTTTTCTTTACCTGAAACTGCTATAACAATGAAGTCTTTATTATATGCTTTAACTCGTTTACATTAAATTTTGGATTGTTTTGGAATTTATATTGGTGTAGAGAGAGAGGTATGGATCCATTTTTATCTATTTCCAAATGGTTAGCCAGCTGCTAACCTCATTTATTAAATAATTTGCTTTCTTCATTGATTTGCAATTCCCCTGTATCAGCTTTTAGATTTCCACTTCTACTTAGATGTATTTCTGGGACCTGGTTTTGAACCATCACTCTGCTCTTCCCGTTAATAGAAGCTTCTGATTATTTGTTATTTCTAGGGAAGGATTTTCCTGAGTATTCTCAGGAAATGTTTAACTTTTAAACATTTTAAAATTAAAAATATACATTGTGTCCAACTTTCTTTCCAGATCATTCACTTTTTTTATTCCTGCACTCTGACATGATTGAGACTACCGGACCCCTGATTCTCTATTTCTCCTTTACTGGTTCCCTGTCTTAATTTGCCTTCCCTAAGGGGCCTCGACCCTTGCTCGCCCTTTAACTGCTTTCTTGCCATTGCCCTTGTCCCTTGTCCTCCCAGCACACACTTGAGATCAAGGTAACCTTCGATCAGTTCCATTATCTCCCCTTTTCCCTCCAAGCCACCTGTTGAGCTTTTCAGAAATTGATGCCACTGAAGCAACATTCATTAGCCTCGTTTTGCTGGCTAACATGGTCTCTGTGTTTTTTATCAAGTCATCTGTCCACAGCAATTATTTTAGGTCATCTCTTTTCTTCTTCTTCTTCTTTTTTTTTTTTTTTTTAAAGATTTTATTTATTTCTTTGAGAGAGAGAGAATGAGAGATAGAGAGCACGAGAGGGAAGAGGGTCAGAGGGAGAAGCAGACTCCCCGCCTAGGAGGGAGCCCGATGCGGGACTTGATCCCGGGACTCCAGGACCATGACCTGAGCTGAAGGCAGTCGCCCAACCAACTGAGCCACCCAGGCGCCCCGGTCATCTCTTTTCTTCTTAGTCCCTCTCCTTGACTCCCTTTCCTTTTACTCTTAGCAGATGATAACCCCTTCATACAGAAAATGAAGCATCAAGAAGAAACTCCCTTAATTTCATGTCCTCTACCTTCAAACGAAATGTCTTTCCTCCTCCTCTTTTTTTTTTTTTTCCAGTGGAAGAAATAGCCTTCATTGTATTTGGGGCTAATTGTCCTGCCTTTTGGGGGTCTGTAATCCTTATGTCCTTTCCCTTTTCATATTTTCAATCTCTTTTCCTACTCTTCTCTTCCACTCATGCATTAAAACATGTTCATCTCTCATTGTAAAGTATGCTCCCCACATCCCTTCGAAGTGTCCTGCTGTCTCCTGGAAAGCTGTTTAGCTGGCTTTGCTTCACGCCCTCCCCCCCACCCTCCGCCCTTTAGTTCTTTTCATCTGATTGCCACCTATGTGCGATTGAAACTATTGCCACCAAGTTCACCAATAGATTAATTTGAGGCCTTATTTCACTTTTCTGCAACATTTAACACTGCTCACAACTTCATTATTAAAATATTTCCTTTATTTAAATTCAACAATTTAAGGCAATTATGGCATCAACTATATGCCAGGACATAGGCAAATGTTGTTGCTTTTCTTGGTTTTTGTGACACAACCCTTGTTTTTCTCCTATTTCTGATAGCTTTTCATGATCTCTTTTGAGTTCTTCTCTTCTTTCTAATCTTTAAATGTCAGTATTCTTCAGACTTCTTCCCTTGGATTTCCTTTTCTCTCTACAATCTCCCTGACTACATCCCTATCCAAAATTTTGGTTGCCCTATAAATACCTCTTACTCCTTATTTTTTTCATTCACTGTATAGTAATTGTACACCACGCATATGCTTGGAATTGTACTAGGCAAGGGGAATATCAAGATAAGATGCAGTTCTCTCATCAAGGATATTGGTGTAGTGGGGAAACACACAAGAGGGGAGACAGTTACAATACACTGAATAATGCTATGGTATAAGATAGTACAGAATGCCATAGGGGTATGTAAGAGGGGCACCAAACTCCATTTTAGTGATATGAAAGAAGATATCTCAAAGAAGACAATCTGAAGACTTAATCAGATCAAGATGAGCAATGGACTGGAGGGGACTTGCAGATAGAGGAAAGAGGGTGGAGAAGGCTTGCACATGATGAGAGGGTAGCCTGATAGTGTAATTGACCAGATAAGTCAATATGGCTGGATCAGAGTGTAGGGCGGTGGTACACGGAGAGATGAAGCTGAAGAGACAAATATATAGGGTCTTAAATACCAGGCTGAGCAATACTACTTTTTCCTGAGTGCTGCGGGTAGCCTTTGAAGGGTTAAAGCAGTGGAGTAGTTTTAACATATTTGTATTTTAGAAAGCTCAGTTGCTTGGATTAGAAGGAACCATGGTTAAATCATGTTTGAAAACTTGTTGCTATGAACCAGTCGTTCTCAACCAGTGGTGATTTTGCCCTCCAAGTTATATTTGCTAATATCTGGAGACATCTTTGGTTGTCACAACTGGTCTTGGGGATTGTGGCGTGCTATTATCTTTGAGTGGGTAGTGGCCTGTTTTCTAGACAAGATCAGCTTTTGGAATGCTCTCTTTATAAAATCTGCTCGAGGTGAGCTCTGCTGAAATTACGATCATCCCTAATAAGAATAACAAACATCAGGATTCTAATAATTTCAGAATTCTGTGTGAGGCTTTAGCAGAGTACTAAACACAGTTTATATAAGTACAATTAAAAAAAACAAAAAACTTTCCACTTTAGTAGAGAAAGGATACATGTTTTGAGTATGAGTCTGGATGAGGGATGAAGAGGGGAGCTCAGTTAAAGACTTTCTAGATTTAAAGTCATACTCTTAGCTCTTTTTAGCAATTAATTAATGAAAAAATCCTGTTCATTAACTTGACATATTGAGGATTTGATAAGCATTATTTTTGAAGAGTAAATGGAGCAAATTATCTAGGTAACACCTCTTTGTAAAATTAAAGAAATGCAGAATTTTTCTTCCTTCCGTCTTTTGAATATTGTAATTAAAGAAAAAACAAGTGAAAGCCAAGAACCATTTAAGCCATCAATTTCAACAAGTTCTCACTTTGTACTTGTATCAAGATTATTAACATCACAAAATTACCTAAGGTGAATCACTGAATGTACTTGGAAGTGTTCGTGTCTAAAGCAAAGCATAAGTTGCAGATGCTTGATTTAAAATAGTGAAGTATCCCTTCCAACTCATTTACAAGGTGGTCTCATTTGAACTCTCACCCATGCACCCCTCCCCTGTACACTAGCCCCAAGGCTTCAGCCAGGCTTCCAGACGTTATTGGATTTCTTGGCACCAGAGAAACCAGGCCATCTTCCTGGGGATGCTATGGAAACTTACGGGATACAAAAACTTACAGTGTTAGGGAAGATAAAGTAAGGAAATCTGTATCTGAATAATACAAGTTATCTTGCATTATTTATATAAATTTATATGTAAAAAAAAATCATTAAGATACTAAAAAAGCTGATATCCAGGTGACCTTCTTTTGAGAATAGTCTCTACTTACTCTGTCATAACTCCTGCTATAGAGAGTGGAGATGTAGAGATTAATTTTTTATGGTGGATTTCAATGAAGTACAAAAATCTAGTGACAAGTAAAATAAACACCCATGAACTTATCACCCAGTTTTTTTTTTTTTTTAAAGATTTTATTTATTTATTTGAGAGAGAGAGAATGAGAGATAGCACGAGAGAGAAGAGGGTCAGAGGGAGAAGCAGACTCCCTGCCGAGCAGGGAGCCCAATGCGGGACTCGATCCTGGGACTCCAGGATCATGACCTGAGCCGAAGGCAGTCGCTTAACCGACTGAGCCACCCAGGCACCCCTTATCACCCAGTTTTAACAATCATCAATTTATAGCCAATCTTTCAACCACTCATTTACCCAATCCATTCCTATCCCTCCACTTCCATTTCCCATCTGCCTTGGATTATTATAAAGCAAACCCCAGGCATTGTATCATTTCATCCATAAATATTTCAGTATGTACTAAAAAATAAGGGCTCTTTAACATCACAATATTATTACACCTAACAGAATGCAATATAATTCCCTAATATCATTAAATATTAAGCCAGTATTCAAATATTTTTAATTCTCAAAGTTTTATTGTTCATTCCAATCAAAATTCAAATACAGCCCATACACTGCAATTAGTTAATAACGCACATAAATTCCTTTATTCCATATCCAAAATGGATTTTTTAATTTTTGATAGAAAGCACAGAAATATCAGGAATTATTTACATGGATAAATCTTCCCCAGTCTTGATAATTGAAATGTTCCCAGGAGCTTAATTCCTCTTAACCTCAAGGAGATTTGGTATGTTGAGGCCTGTTTTTTGACAGGAAGCAAAAATCCCTCTACTTCTGCTCAGTTACACATAGTGACTGAAAACCTCAGTTCTGGTGTAGTTTAATGAATGTTATTGTAAATTGGCTTTGTTTCTTGAGTGTCTGTACATTTGTTTGGAGTAAGTGTTCAGTGGTTTAGCTCACTAGACCATGGATCATCCTACTAAGGTGTAATGAATTCGATGGATCATTCTACTAATGTGTCATGGACATTGCTTCATTTTCTCTTAACGAGTTGGTGCCTGAAAATAGTAGGAGGTGATGGCCTTGTGGAAAGCAGCACAGGTAGATAAGAATGAAAACCAATGTATTTTCTAAGCAGATGAAATAGAGACTTTTCAAAAGCCTGCTATGTTTTCTTATTACTTGATATTTATACATTTAAAGGGACAGCCTACGTTATATTTTTTAATAATCTTACTACTCATTCATTTTAATGTTTACTGAGGAATATATCATTTCACTTAGGAAAATGACTACATTAATTCATACTTTGAAGATGGAGATGATTTTGGTGCAGACAGTGACGACAACATGGATGAAGCAACCTATTAGCTATGAAATTTCTCCCAAAATATCTTTATGATACCACTTCTGAACATTTGGACAGACTTTCTATTTCTGATAAGGAATATTATATTTTTGTTCCTGTTTTGTTGGACAAATACTTGCTGTCAAAATATTCAGAACCACTTTGAGTTTACATACTAGTTACCTTACCAGTCTCTGATACTCTGACATTCCTTTTCAACACCCCTGTCATCTGTCTTCTGTATTCAAGTGGATTTTTCTTGTATCATTTGGATTTCAATGTGCCTAGAGTTTTTGCATTTTTTAATCTATGTATTCATACTTGAACAAATTACTCTTGTTGAACTCGATCTGTTGTAAAACTATTACTAGTCATTATAGTGGATTTCTGTAATCTGAAAGTTGATATAATAATACTGCACAAAGAGCACTTTAGAAACAAACTTGAAAATAATTTTATCTTTTACTTTCGCATGGTATGTTCTGTGCTGCATTATAAATGACTGCAAAAACCTACCTGAGCTCTTAGAATTGCAGAATTTTATGAGATTGGAAGTTTTGTGATCAAAAACATCCAGGGAAAAATGCCCCATTCTGAACTGTGTGAATTTCCCAACTCACATCTCAGCCTGTACAAAAACCTGGGATGAATACTAAAAATACTTGAACTTGGAGCCAACTCAATACTACTTAACATATAATCATCTCACTGTAGTTAAGTTTGATATCTTTGAATAGTTTATGAAAAATTAGATATCTAAAGTGTAAAGAAAGTTCTAGTCTTAAATCTCACTGCAGAATGCATGTGTACGAAATCTGTGCGGTGTAGTGGCCATTGTTAAATTTCACAGGACTCATAGTCATCCAATTGATTTATATAACAATGGAGAATAAAACTCAGGTCATTTTAAAATTAAGATTAATCTTTTTTGTTTTGATTAAAAACTAGCTCCCCTGCCTTTTTATATCTTGGCAGGGAAAATACCTAAAACCCCCAGGCTCCAAAGACACACAAATGCCAAAGATTTTCAAGGGAATTCATATTGTATATTTTTAAATGATTTAATATTCCCTACCAAAAAGAATAAAGACGATAATTGTTCCCTTTGGAGAAGACATTACCCATTACCTTCTAACCTTGAGAATCAAAGCCCTAGATTCTGTTTCTACCTTTAGTATAGACTCAACCTTGAAAATGAGCTTGGTTTTCTGTGCCTTAGTGTCTTCACCTGTAAACTATTGTCTATAAACATTGCTTACACACCAACCAAAATTTGCCATGCATTCATTCATACCTTATAGAAATGATCACTTAATTTAAATTTGGTTCTCACCCTCTAAAAAATGGTAGCTTCATTAAGTGGTTGAAAACAAAGTTCTGAAAAACAAGCATGTTTTCCTCACAAACTATATTATAACCTGATTTTCCCATCTTGTATTGTGGAGGGAAGGATTGGAGAAAATTTGTGCCATTTTGTAACATGACTTTCTCAGGAAAAACATCACTTTCAATACCTCCTCAGATTATTCAAGGTGGGTGTGAAGACCATTGTTAGTTCAGTGTGTCGATCATATGTGAATTATTTGTTGAAATTAGCTTCTGGGAAATTTTAAACATTCTAAATGGAAAACAAAAAAAGTCCACATTAAAATAACAATCTACTGGACTTAAAGTAGAAACTCACATAAAGTTTCTAATTTTAATGGTCAAATAAAGTCACTTGGGATTGTTAAATAAAACACTTGATGTTTTATTCTCACCTCCTTAGTACCTTAGCCAAATACCATTTAATTTACAGAAATCTGATCTCAATGGTTCTATTTACTTGCTTCGGTATAAATCTGCAGATAACCCTGTGAATTGGTCAGATGCACTGAAGATACAGGTATTTATTTTCCTAGCTTTCAATTTTGCCTCCAGTTTTAGTCCAGCAGATGGTAAGATAGCCCCTTTGGGCAGGGATTTGCTTCAGGAGGCCCCAGCCATCTGCCTTAAGCGCACTGTCTTCCCCCTTTGGAGGATCTTTTTATAAGTTTAAAGTAGACTAACTGTTGAGGACAGGGAGTATTTACAGGTTGCTTTACCAGCATGAATCTTGTCTTTCTGGCTTAAAATCTCAGACACTGTGAAGTTAGTTATTCCATAAGAAGGAAAACTTTAATGCAGAGATAGCCTCCTGTATATAAAAAAGTACTTGTTGGTGAAGTGTCTTTACAATTGCTGTATTAACAGGCCAAACTGTTTTGTTGCTATAATGCTTATTTTCCTGTTTACACATTAAATTCTTACAAAACAAAGTTGTGTCCTTTTGTTTTATATAAACATGGTTTATTTTGAACCTACTTAAATGAGAAAACAGATTTGTTAATACAGATTTTACATAGTAAAATAACTATTTATTGAGCAAGTATGAGTTACCAAATATTCTTCAATAAACCACCCACAAAAGAAAACTCTAGATGATTAAAGTCATGTTAACAAATTAAGAGATTTGGCAGACAGTGTAATATTAGTGTGATCACTGGTATCGGGGACTGACTTAAGAGTGGATACAAGAGAATGCTAAGAAATTTGGAAGGTCCTGTTAACCTTTCCATCCCCACCACAATCAAATGTACAGTCATGGCTTTGCCTCCATATGCTTAAAGGCTCTGGAGTTAGTAAAAACTTATTGTTAAGGGCGCCTGGGTGGCTCAGGTCATGATCCCGGGATCCTGGGATCAAGCCCCACATCGGGCTCCCTGCTCATCGGGAAGCCTGCTTCTCCTTCTCCCTCTCCCCCTGCTTGTGTTCCCTCTCTTGCTGTCTCTCTCTCTCTCAAATAAAGAAATAAAATCTTTAAGAAAACACAACTTATTAAAAAATGAGTTTAAATACAATTTTAAGGAAAAAAAAGAATTATATCACAATTCCTCCATTAAATAAATAAAAACTTCAAACAACTTTGTTTCTTTTTGCTGCCGATAATTTTGAAAAATATCCTTGAAGTGGAAAGGTTGTTTCATGATAAAATTTACATATAGAGCATTTTGCTAAATATATGACCCACAACTTGCTAAGCAGCCATGGACCATGCCTTTTAAAGTCTTCTTCCCTGATATCGAAGAACATCCAAAGAACATCCATTTGAAATTTGTTTTCATTTATGTCCTATAAATAATCCAGTGGATTTTCTGTATAACAAGGGGGAAATATGAATTGGTAAACCTTTGGCAATTCTATCTACCTTACATAGTTATCTCTACATCAAATAGTTTAAAAGAGGAAAAAGTTTTGCTTTTATTCAATTAAATTCAGCTTCCATTTTAGACTGAATAATAAAATAGAAACTTTATTACATTTTGCATCTCTTTTAAAATATGAAAAATAAGGACAGAAAGTTTTAAAAACCAGTTTTACAGATGTACATGCTAACATTGTTCTACAATTCCATTTTGCCTTTGTATAAAATACATTAAACAAAAGATTTATAGTATCTGCATACATAAAAAGAATTAAATAAAGCATTCAGATATTTCTATGATCTAACAGTGCAATATGCACATACTTGGAAGAAAAATACTGATTTCCTGAGCAACGTTGTTATAATTCAAAATAAGAATGATACCAATCATAATGCACCATTTCAATACAGACTTCTAAAAACTCCACCTTTACCCTGTAACGCTTTGACTGGATCCTTGCTTCATGATATTTCTGAAACATCCTTCATATTCCCAACTAGGTAATTTTAGAAATAGATACCTTAAAAAGAACTAATTAGTAAGTAGTGGTTCATTTAAAGAATTTTTGCTGAACAAGCAAGTAGAGTTCAGAAAAAGAAAAGCTTTAAAAAACACAGTCCTTTGGAAAAGTTCATTTAACATTAGTCTTCTTTCTAATTCTAATGTGGTCAGCAGACTATATAATCCATTTTAACCTATCTTTTGAAGAGATGAATCCCATAATTTTCTAGGAGTAGGATGGCAAAAACTTTAAATGGCATTCAATAGTTCAAAACAACCTTAACCATTTGTACCCATCCTTAAAATAACCTGCCCTAAAAATAGCAAATTTTTCCTCGCTTACAACTCCCAAGTTTTTAAGTGAACCAAATGCAATGATTCACAATCGTTAGCATATATATAACATATATACCTTCTAATATAAAGCATCCAAGAAAATTCAAATAAGGATTTCAACACAATTAAAATGCACAATATCAAATAATAACTCGTTAAGTTTTACAAAGTAATTATTTGCTACAAATTTTGATGTAATTAGTACTTTTTAAAAGGTAAAATTATTCTAGATCTATTAAATGCTTAGGAAATTTTTTTCTAAATGACCATTAAAAATTAGAATCTAAAATTCTATATATATGACATATATAGAATTCAAATATATAGAAAAAGGAAACTGCCTGATTGTGTCATAAGGATGTTATATTTCCTTTGTGAAAGAGGACACACTGCAAGACAAAAATGGTTTTTAATCAAATACATAGTACACTTCACTACTTTAAGGTACTTATTTTGGAACTCAGACCTATCACGATTTCAAAGTAGCACTAGCAAAAAGGAATCACTGACTGTTATTTCATCAATTTGATGTAAACAAAGTTCTTCATTCTACCCTAAAATAATCCAATCATTTTCCTTCCCTAAAACTTGATTTTTCAGCAGGCATAATAAATACAATGTAAACTGACCAAGTTAACACTGAGTGTAAATTAGAAAGATCATACCTTTTTTCCAACATGCCAAGGCACATTAAGATAGTTTTTAAAATTCCAAACTAAAAGATTTACTCAAAAAATGATTTTGCTACAACTTCCATATTAACACTTTTCATTAATTGTCTAAGGTCCTCAGATACATGCAAGGGCTTTAATGTTTGACTTCTTTGTCCTGTTTCTTATGATACTTTGCTCCTGAAAGTATACACGAAACCTCATTTACCATATGTACTTATTCATCCCCCCCCTTTTTATTAAATCAGTATTGGAGTTGGAAATACAAAATGACTGATCAAAACCTGAAACATTAAAAATTAGGAAATAATGCCCAGAAAATGAGGTGGTATTATATAACTTAAGGTACATACTTTATTATACACAAACAGGCAATCCAGACTCCACCAAATCTTTCTTCTAATGAATCATTTGGTTACATTTTTGAAACACATACTTGAAGAAATTAAATGATGGAAATCAGTATGCAAATGATGCTTATTTAGCCAGACTGTCTGATCCCCAGCAAATCTTAGGAAGTAGCACTATCAAGCCCTTTCAGCTGATCCACACACCTGTGGCCTCTGTTCCCCAATTTGATGCTATAGTTCAGAGGGAAAAAAAGGTCTAAGTTGGACATTTTCTCTTTGAAAAATATAGGTTAACAGATCAATAAATAATTTGTCTGTTATTGTTAATACAAAAGGTCTCTTGTACCTTTGCTTTTGCTTAATGAACCACTTTCTCCAAAAGATCTGAGGCAGCCAAAAATCTGTTTTAACCCTATGAAGTTTCACTTGATAGTGAAGGTGGAGACGAATTTACATGGCCTGAATCTTTCATAGGCCACATAAATTGGACCATCTGAAATAATCCTTAATTTGAATTCTAAAAATTGTATTAGCTTACATAAAGTAATATTATAAGGCATTAAATGTAATTAAGGCATGTTACTGCATGTAACACAGCAACAAATTATCACAGTATGTAAGGATTTATTTCCTAAATAATGCTAATTCATATAACACTTTTCATTAAAGAATTACAAAAGTGCTTTCAAATAACAGAGGCAAATATAATCACTTAAAAAACAGAAGCAGAGGCAGCGAGCTTTAAGAGACAAAGATTACTTTTAGGTCTTGACCTAATCCAGTGTTCTAGTGACCAAATGGCAACTTCCTAACCATAACACATTATTTTGGGGGCTTATAAATTTTATTTTGCTTAATATATTTAACAATAACCTTAAACCAAAAAATAATTACTTGAAAAATAAAATTTAAACATAACCAGGCTTGAATAAGAAAAATGATGCATTTTCCAAGTTAAGAACTTCCTAGACCCATATTTAAATTCATTTTTGCTTTAAGCACTGATACAAGATATAGATTTACAACTCTCAATATCAACAACTAGCAACTGTAGGAATTTATACTCAATCTATTTGCAACTGGCTCCAAAAAGAAGGGTGAAAAACAAGAGCATCTTCAGTCTCCCTAACTTCTGCCTTTAAAGTGGTTATTGAAGGTAACTGATTCACCACACTCCAGATACACATGATCATTAACACCGTAATTATGAGCTAACTGCTATGTTTTGTGTTGAGCAGCAGGTGACTGAGAATCTTGACGATATAGTTTATGATCATGTTGGCCAAAGGGTATTCCTTTAGTTGGACCAATTCCATTTTCCACTTCTCTCTGTTGTGATGGGGGTGTCACTCCTGAATGCAAATGTGAAGAATCCATTGTTGAATGGTGACTAACATCCACTTTAGCTAAAATTTCATAATACAGCAAATAGAATACTGGCGTTATTATACCTACTATCAACATTATCACTACAGCTGTCCACCACCCTATTCCCCAGTCTGCTCCATAATAAGGATCCTTACGTTGAATGTTTTTGTTATCAGGTTCAAAACGTATTTGTTGTGCTGTTAAAGCAGATACCACCTCATTAAGGTTCTCTCTTTTGGTGTCTGTACATTTTACTATTTGTTCTATGTCTCGATCTACTTCTTTTAAAAAGTTATCAGCTGACTCAGTGGAAGAAAGAGAATCGTTAGCTGGCAAAATTTCCTGTTGTTCTGGAACATACTGGATAGATGAAGGACGTGAAGCCTGTCTTCCTTTTGGAGGATAAAGTGTTTCAGTCAATGAACTAAACTTTTTAACTGGAATTTTGATAGACCTAAGGGCAAAAAAGTCTTGGTCACTGATGAGATTGTTAACCCTCTTGATATCTGCTACCTGTTAAAAAAAAAAAAAAAAGCAACATTCAACTGAATTCTCCATCAAAAGAGGTAATAGTCATTCATCCCAGTTACTTTCGGAAGGGGGAAAAAAAAAGTTGAGCTTAATTATTAGCAGTATTAAGTTATCACACCCAGAGAGATTTTATTTTGTGGATGACAGTTCTACATCACTTTTGATCTACCAGTCTTGGGAAATCACTAATTACTTTTTACTATCACTCATGTATTATTAACACTAATATTAGGTATTTAGGTAGATTCTGGGATCCTTTGATATTTCTCTTTGTACATCATGCACAAATATCACGCTTTCTGTTGTTTGTAGACAATTTGGGAAGGAACGATTACAAATATTTCTTTCTTCCAGTCTGGCAGTTAAAGTGTAGGCAAATGTCAACTTACCCAACTAAAACTACCGTATTTTATCAAAATTCAGATGCCATCAAATCTAAGATGTGCCATTATTTTACATATCATTAAGGGAAAAAAAAAAACCCAGAAAACACCAAATACTGAGAATACCACCATTCCAGTTCCAAAGATGTTAAAATGTGTGGAAAAAAAACATGCACCTTAGAATTGGTAACATAATTTATCTCCCTCACTTGTCTTCTGATGACATTTTTTCCAAACTTCTCAGTGTTCATGCATTGTTCAATTACCCCCAAGATCGGTCATTATTTATAAGCTTTCCCTATAGATTATATGGTCCTCAAACTGTCTGTATATCCTATCCATCTGCCACTGTCAAGAGGGAGAGCATGGGAGTGTTCCTCAGATTACCAATTATAATGATAGGCTCTCCCACCATCTTTAAGTGATCAATCCCATTCATGATTTCTATCAGTGCTTTAACCTAAGCCTTGATCATTTATCACCTGATTGATGTCAGAGAGGCAAAGTGAGTCTAGGATAAAACTTTTCTGGCTTGGTCAACTCAATGGATAATGATACCATTTCCTAAGATATGGAACACTCTGGAGGGAGAAAAGAAAATAAACACAGATTTTATACATGTTGACTTTGAGGTGACTGAAATATCTAAGTGGAAGCTATCCAACAGACAGTTAATAGATATGTCTGAAATTTGGAGGAATGATCTCAGGTAGAAATACAGATTTGTGGATTACCAGCAAAAATGGTAATTGAAGTCACAAGAGTAGACAGATTCTCTGAAAAAGGTGACATATGAAAGATCTCTGAGAAATGCCAACATTTGAGGGGTATATTGAATAGGAAAATCTACAAAGGAGATTAAGAAAGAGTGGCTAAGGGGCGCCTGGCTGGTTTAATCAGGAAAATGTGTGACCCTTCATCTCGGGGTTGTGAGTTCGAGCCCCATGTTGGGTATAGAGATTACTTTAAAATAAAATTTAAAAAGGAAAAAGAAAAAGAAAAAAAGAGTGGCCAAGAAAGCAATATATGATGGTGGTTAAAAGTATGGACTATCTGGGTTTGAAGGACAGCTCTGACAATTTTCAAGCTATATGATTTGGGGCAAGTTGTTTAACCTCTCTGCAATTCAATTTCCACATATGTAAAATGACAGTAGTAACACTACCTACCATATAGTGTTTTGCAAAGATTAATAAATTAAAACACATGAGCATTTAGAATAGCGATATATAGTGTGTTATAAAAGCTATAACATTTAATATTTATATTTAATATATTTGGTATAATATTAATAGAAAAATCAGAAAGATGCAAAATCAAGGAGGTCAAACAAAGAGGGTTTTTAGGAGTGGTGAACTGATCAACTGCAGATTTCTGATCAAGTCCACTGAAGAATGAGAATTCCTGGAAAAATCAGTTCCCTGGAAGTGTATGTGTGGGAGGAGGATGGTGAGAGGGCTAAGGAGTAACTAGATGAGACAGTAAAGAAAAAGGGTGCTTTCAAGTTTTACAACCTCAAGACTGTTTTTTTTCTTAAGGCAAATGAAGATTCATTGACAAACCCCAAAGTCTGACCCTATTCTCTTTAAATGTTCATTTGTTTGGTATTGTCTATTCTGACTAATAACTACTCCATACTCTTTCTGAACCAGGCTTCCAAGTTTTAGTAGTCTACCTTGGTTCCCACTCTGAATATCCCTATATTTTCTTTTATACTAACTTCGTCGGTTGCATTTAGGATTCCAACCTTGGACTTTGTCCTCTTGTCACTGTTTTATGACAGGCGTATTTTTAGTAATTTTTAAAACTAAGTATTTATAAGAGGAATACAGCACTAAGTACTCAATTTTTAAAGTGATAAATCCTTTTGTAAGGATCATCCTTTTTGCTGGTTGAGCTCCTGGCAAAAGGGAGCATTGCTTAACTCCCTAACTCTATTATATCAATTTTCCCTACTGTGGACAATGCCTTCTTTCCTCTAATGTTAGCTAACCGCCCTTTCATCATTCTTCATTTTAAAATGAGGTATCAGCTGATACATCTTGTGAATACCCCCAAATGATTTTCTGTAAACTTCTCTAGCCTTACTACACATATTTTAGTCTAAACCCTGATCTTCACTTGAATTATTCCACTAACGTCTTCATTGGGTCCCCTCCAACTCACCAGGCAGGTTTCCCTACCATTTTGCAGCACTCCTTAAAACCTTAGAATGGTGTTCTTACTACATAGATCAAACTTCTCAGTTATCTCAACGTGCTTCTTCCCATTAGTCTATACCACTCATTTGTGGAACACCTATTAAATTCCGTCTGTTGTTCCCCTTATCTTCTCCTTCCACATCACTGTCGTATACCTTTCTCCTCATATACTCATACAGTCATATACTTTTTCCTTTTCACCTCATTGGAAATATGACCTATTTTTAATCATTCAGATGGCATTTCAAATTTCTCTTTTTCTAAGACAATGTATCAGGTTCTTTAAGGAAAACCCATGTCTTTCTATAACAAAGCTACCTGACCACACTCTTCTTTTGGACCTCCACCTTGATAATTTTAGCTTTCCCCCTAATTTTTAAATCTTGATTACTTTCTGTCAACTTTCTAAAGCACATTCTGTAACTTACTTCTCTACTTTCTAAAGCACATTCTGTAACGTGTCTATAAACATGTATTCACATGGTTATTTACACACGTGGCTATTACACAACTATTATGACCTAATAAGTGTTGCCATACTTGAACAAGTTGCAAAAAAAAACACCCAAATCCAACTCTTCTTACCTCATCAAGAAATGTGTTTCAATAAAATACTTTATTAAATTTTTAAATAAAAATTTGTCATATCTGTTTTGATCAACTGAAGTGCAGTAATTATTCAGAGAAAAATAATACACAGAACTTCGTGGTCATAGGAAATTTTTTAAAATTCAATTTAAATTTACACATATTTGTATAAATAAATTTATAAATATGTATGTTTCTATTGCAGAGAACTATAATAGGTAACCAATAAAAGGCTTTCAAGTACAAAAACATAAAAGACTGTGGGGGAGGATGAAAACATTAATCAAAGAGAAAAAGGAAAGATAAAAATTTCACACTCTTAAAAAAAGCACATATGGGGTGTCTGCGTGGCTCAGTCAGTTGAACATCTGACTCCTGCTTTCGGTGCTGGTCATGATCTCATGGGTCATAAGATAGAGCCCCATGTCCGGCTTCAGGCTCTGGGCTCCATTCAAGTGCAAGTCTGAAGGTTCCCCCTCTCCCTCTTCCTCTGCCCCTCCCCCCACTTGTGTGCTCTAAAATAAATATATATATATATTTTTTTTTAGTGTATATAAAGAGTATTCTAACAGTCATATTTTTAAATATCAATATTGACAACGTTCTGGAAATTATATCCTTTAAGTCATTAGCAAGTATTTAAGCTCACTTTAAAATGTGCAAGGAGATACCCAATACATACATTTCAAAATTCTATTGGGAGTATGAGAACAAAAAGTTTGAAAAATGTTCTAACGGTTTCTGGATCAATGTGTTCACATGAAAAGATTCCATGCTAAGGAGGCAAGATGGACATAGTGATACAGATATAAAACGGGTTTAAACAGAGTTTAATATTATTAAAATAAAAAATATACCTTTCCTTCTACCTATCAATCCTGCTTCTGGGAATCTATTCCACAGAAATAAAGGTACCACGATTTAAAGATATAGTTGTGATGATATTCACCACACAATTCAAAACATGGGAGAAAATCCTGACTATGTGACAGGAGAATGGCTTAATAATTATGGCACATCCCTACTATGCAATACTAGATAGCTATATAAAATGAGTTAGATCTGTAAGACAATGAGGGATGTCCATGATATACTAAGAAAATGAAAAAGGCAACTTGAAGCATAACAGGCATAGTATAAACAAATTTTTATTTTATTTTCATTTTTTTTAAAGACTTTATTCATTTGAGAGAGAGAGAGAGAGAGAGAGCACGCACAATCAGGGGGAGGGGCAGAGGGAGAGGGAGAAGCAGACTCCCCCGCTGAGCAGGGAGCCCGATGCGGTGCTCGATCCCAGGATCTGGAGATCATGACCTGAGCCGAAGGCAGACGCTCAATCATCTGAGCCACCCAGGAGCCCCTAAACCAATTTTTAAAAACAAAATCACCAAGGGTGCCTGGGTGGCTCAGTCAGTTCTCCCTCTGCCTCCTGCCCCCTGCTCATGCTCTGTCTCTCTCTCAAATAAAAATAAAATCTTTTAAAAAACATGAAAACAAAATCACTAACACCCCAAGTATTTTATGTATAATATATATTTATGTATCACATATATGTATATATAGATTTTTTTTAAGATTTCATTTATTTGACAGAGAGAGACAGCATGTGAGAGAACACAGGCAGGGGGAGAGGCAGAGGGAGAGGGAGAAGCCGACTCCCCTGAGCAGGGAGCCCGTTGCAGGGAAGTCCCAATCCCAGGACTCTGAGATCATGACCAAAGCCAAAGGCAGATGCTTAACTGACTGAGCCCCCCAGGCACCCCATATGTACAGTGTTTTTATAAGCACAAAAAAGGTATGGAAAGAAACACACCAAAGTGTGTTATTTCAGGAAGCTGAGGCAGAGAAAAATTTTTATGTATTTCTATATTCTCTTACAACTTGAGTAAGCAGAAAAGATAACACATTTGGGTGTTTTCAATACTAAAAACAGAATCATGGATTTAGAAATAAACAGAAATTCAAGTATTCACTTAAAAGTGTAAAAAGTTAACAGCTACCAACATAATACAGATTTCTATGGAAAGAAAGGGGGAAAAGAAGAGAAAAAGAGCACAGAACTTATTTCAGTTTGTGCTAATGAACAAATTATTTTGGACAGCATTATGCAAAATCCAATGAAAACTTACCGTACAACAGTACTGAAGGGCTATCGCATTTAAAGTATCTCCTTCCTGTATATCTTTTGTTAATACTATAATGTCATCAAGTCTATCTCTTGATGTACTTCTTCGGATTTTCTCTTTTCCTCTGGATCGAAGTTCATACACTTCAGTATCCTCCTCCAACACATCACTGTCTGTACAATTTCCAAATACATGTACTTGACCACTTGAATGAACTCCTGGAAGAGGAAAACTACGATTCTGATGTCTCCCTGCCATGTCAAAATCTGAGGAGGAAAGAAGAAAACTTTGGAATGTACCTGATCCATTTACCCAAGTTACATGAATCTTATATTCAGGACACTTAAAAAAAAATGATTTTAGTTATTTAAAAATTTAGGTTGAAGTTTTACAGATGTTAAAGTGCAATTAACATATCAGCGGCAGAGGCAACGGGACAGGAGGAAGAAGTAATCCATTCTTATAGGCCATATATCACAAAATGTGGGGGTGATAAACATTTTCAAAAAAGTAAATTGCTATTTTTTTAAGGTCAAAAAACTAAGCTCCACTTAATTCTGAGTATATGAATAAAATTAGGAAATATTTTTTGTATTATGTATTAAAAACCTGTGATTGTATATGTACAATTTATAGTTCTGATGGACTCAAAGTATATGTTTTATATGTACAAACACAACACTTTAATTGAATCTAAATATTCTGGCTTGTTCTGCATTTTAAGTGCATGTGGTATTAAAATATCTTTTGTACTACCTCTCTACCTCCCTCCATCACACTGACTTCATTATTTTTTTTTTTACCTCAGTATTTATATTTAGTACAGTATGTGCCTTCTATATAGGTTGTAATTTTGCCCTAAACCAGGGATTCTTACTCCTTAGAGGCTTTTCACCAATCTTTATCAAAGTCCTCATCCAACTCAATTTATGGTCCATAAAGACTTAAGAGATTTTAGGTCACTACATTCATTTCTACTTCAGAAAAGACACTCTTAAGACTGAACACTGACTTAAGTTAAAAGCATACATCAATGAGTACTTTTTGTTTACTTGCATATGCCCTCTCCACTCACCTTCAAGTTGAACTGTTCTCATTAAAAACAAACAAAACAAAAACATATAAAAACTAATTCCACATTCCCAGTGCTAGCTTCATATTAATTGTTTACATAAGAAAGGATAGTAGATTGCTTTCAGTTATTGAGAAAGATGGAAAGAAGTAGACAAGTACTAAAAGGCATTTTGGAGATAAAATATTTAAGACTTCATACTGTGACTTAGATATGAAGAGAGGTAGGAAGTTAAGGATCATGTCAAGATTTCTGATTTGCATCACTGAGTAAATAGTGATGCCGTTCTCTAAAATATGGAACACTGGAAGAAAAGCGGGGGGAGGGGTGCTGGACTATGATTATAAATTCCTCTAAGAGAGCCCCTAAGAATGTCAAATAGCCAAGTGGGTTATATAGGCAAATTCAGAAAGGGTTAGAAATATAATTTCACAGCTCACGTGCATAGATAGACACAAACTGTGTTGGTATAGATGAGATTACCTAAAGAAAGTATAGCATAAGGGGCCAAGACTGAGCCTTGAAGAACTGCTACATTTGGTATCAGTGAAGGAAAATCAGCCTGCAAAGAAGCTAGAAACAGATATACAGAAGAGAAAGAAACCATCAAAACACTGTGTCATGGAAGACAAACCCAAATGGCATCGTTCTTTTAAAGATTTTATTTGTCAGAGAAAGAGCACAAGCAGGGGGAGCGGCAGGCAGAGGGAGAAGCAAGTTCTCCACTGAACAAGGAGCCCGATGCAGGACTCGATCCCAGGACCCTGTGATCATGACCTGAGCCGAAGGCAGTCTGCTTAACTGACTGAACCACCCACCCAGGCGTCCCTCAAATGCTGTCCTAAAGAAGGGCTTAGTTCAGTTGTAAATGCTACAAATACCAAGTGAAAAAGAGAAAACAAACATAACACCCCCCAAAAAGTCTGAATTTGTAATATGGATGACAACAGATTACGTTCTGCGTGTAGGCACATACGTATCATTTATGAAGTATTTCAAATCATTGAATCCAACCCCTGAAAACCAGTTTCTGACCCTGCTCTACAGCAACACTTGCAATGCTTTAAAAACTCAAGAGTTTTTCTATTAGGATAACATAGATAACTAGTAACTATATATTAAGCAAACTATTTCACCCATCCCCACCCCCTAGGGTGCTACTATTTATTACCATGAACTGTGATTCCTCAATTCACAGCCACCAAACTAAAGAAAGCTATCCACATTTTTCATCTCTAAAGATTTTATTTATTTGACAGAGAGCGAGATCACGAGTAGGCAGTCACGCAGAGGGAGAGGGAGAAGCAGGCTCCCTGCTGAGCACGGAGCCCGATGCGGGGCTCGATCCCAGGACCCTGAGATCATGACCTGAGCCGAAGGAAGACGCTTAACCGACTGAACCACCCAGGGGCCCCTTCACATTTTTCACCTCTAAAGCAGTTTTGAAGTCCTGGGCACACCTATTCCTTCATGGAGTTCTAACCAAGTGACAACTCTAAGAAGTTTAAAGGTTAATCTTGTTTTAATACCATAATAAATTAAGGATGCTTTATTTTTAATTCTCAAAAAGTTGAAAAAGTATCTCACCTTCAACTTAAATAGATAACAGTTTTATTTCCACTTATTTAACCAAGTCTTTTCTATCTTGTATTTTTAGTGTAGGAAATGTCTGTGAATCCTGTGGAGTTGTGGGCAAAATTTTATACTTATGTACATTTTTCTGGGGGGGTATTTGTTTTCCTGTTCTCAGAAGGGGTCCAGGTTTTAAAAAGTTAAGAACCACTTAATATACAGCAATTTACATGTGGCTATACTGACCCATTTAGACTTTTTTAATAACTTGTTCTTAGAATCCCAAACTGGCTTAGAACAGCTGAAATTCACGGAACAATGCCCAAAGCCATTTCACATATTTATGTCAAACCTTCTCCATGGTACATTGCTAAATAACACTTAAAGACTAGAACTTCATCTCACTATCTTTTCACTCTCCTGTGTAATGAAATGGAGGCAGAAGAATACGACAAACTGGATATTGTTTTTGAATAATCAAGAACTGGTTGTGCCTCCAGTCCAAGTGGAAAGCTAGACTCAAGCAGGTAATTATCTAAGCCAACCATACATTTTAGAAAGTACATTGTATTCAAGTCATCTGGCTCATTTTCTTCAACCTGTCTTAATTCTTAGAGTAGGGAAAAAGCACGAATACCCTCTTAAGAAAACTGAAAAAAGCTTGCATGCTATCTAGATTACAAAGAGTCGCAAAAATTACCAATGGATACGTTGTTAAGGCGTTCATCAGCTCACTCTGTAACTGAAAATGGTTTCCCAAACACCTTCATAATTTGTAGGAACTGTTGTTGGGTGTTTCGCTTTGCCTTTCCTTAAGCAAGAGCAATAAAAGGGCTATAGGGCACAAGCTAGTTCAGCACTGAAACAATCTCACAGGGACTGTATCCGCCAGGCCAATTCAGGTTTTAAAAACTTAAAAATTCCCTCCCTCTCCATTCCACACACCTAGTTTTTTTCATTTCCCTGTTTATTCCCTGCAATGATCTCGGATTTTTATGTTACACCATCACATGGTGGACAGTGCTGACGAGAAGCCGTCAGCATTTACTCAACACAGTAAGTTGTGGGAAAAATATAGTGCTTAGGTTGTAAATGCGTTGATCTGGGAATCTGGCAGGTAGGAGTCCTTCCTCTGAGCCTCAGTTTCCCCGAGATTGTAACGAGGGGCTTCAGTGGGCTTGGTCGCGAAGGTCTCCCCTGCCTCGGGATCTCCTCCATGCAGGCCGGGATCCGAGCCCTGCCCGGCCGCCCCGGCTACACCTGCGGCCGATGGCTCCCCGCCACCTCCAGCGAGGGCAGAGCTGGGGCCCGATCCCGCCGGCCGGAACGGGGACACCCCCCCCCCATCTCTCGCCGCCATCTTTACCTGTTCTGTTAGCAGCGAGGACGCAACAAGGAGCCGGCTGTCAGGTCCGCCGCCGCGGCTCCTGCCCCAGGCAAATTCATGGCCAACGCTCCGTTTTTGGCAGTCCCCCTCCTCTGGCGCCACCGCCGCCAACGTCTCCGCCTTCTGGGCCGTGCGCCGCCGCCACGTCCGCAAACCTACCTTGCGTCATCGCGTCAAGTGGGCGGAGGTGGGAAGGAGTGGGGGAGGAGGAGGAGGGCGGAGGTGGGAAGGGGCGGGGAAGGAGGCAGAGGGCGGGAACGCGAGGTGGAGACCAGACCGGGGAGCTTCCCAACCACTGGCCCACTCCAGGAGCGCAGGCGCAGGGATGCCGTCAGGGCCCGCTGGCGGGGGTCCGAGTTCCAGCCCCGCCCCTGTCTCCTCCCCCTCTGCCCCGCCCCTTCATCCCCGGGGGAATAGCTCGGAGGACGAGGTTCGGGGTCTAACCCCGCGCTCCAGAGCGCCTGGCGGATTGCACCTTTGTCCTTTGTCCACACAGTGTTGGCCGACTGTCTAGAAAATACACGGCGGTGGGGGGTCGGGAGGAGGGAGGTTCTTAAAGATTTGACGGGGGCTGTTGTACATTTCTTCTTGCTCTACCTGGAGGTTTCTGTAGGGTGGAGAAGGACGCCCAGAAGCTCAGTGTTGACATCCCTGTTTTAGCAAATTGTACTGTGCTTATTAGTTTTCCTGCTGAAGCTTCTAGACTTGCAGAAGAGGCAAAATACTGGAAAGAAGTCCTTGGCTGGCGGGGTACGGTTGCTTGTCTTTCTGTTTATAGGTGAGGAAAGTGAGCCACCTAGAGTAAGGCCCTGGGAAATTTTCGCCCTCGGGCTTTGGTTCTCAGGCTTCCTATTCCCAAGGAGACAAGGCTGTCTACAAATTGTTAATTCACTTGGTTTTGGAAGGCGGCTATGCTCACCATTATACCACCAACGCTGCACTAACTCACGGTTTTGAAAATTAACTGAAAGTCACTGTTAGGGTCTGTGAGATAAGTTTGTTAGATAGCAAACTCATGACTTCATATATTATTTTTCTCAAATTTACTAAATGAGGTTGATAATGTGTTTGAATTTATGTAAATGATGTAAAGCGTTTTAATGATGTGCTTAATGTTTCCCTGGTGTTGACGTTACAGACTTCGCAGTTTGATGACTGTGCTGTCTTATGATGATATACATGTTGGAGCCAAACAGCTGAGATGCAGAGTGCAGAGCACTTTTCAGAATATCTGAATATTTATGCATCATGAAGACCCTGAAGCTCTGTTTTAAATTACTTTGAAAGAGTGTGTTTTTGTTTTCTGGGAAGTGCCTTCAGTAAAGGTTAGGAATTCTGCACCGAATTTTTTTCTTTTATTTAAGGAGATAGGCACTGCAGTCCACAATGCTACAAAAAGAACGGCAGAAGACTTTTTTTTTAAGTTTGTTGTCGCTGTTCTGTGTGCTGTTGCCCTTGTGACACCCGTCTGTAACCATTTATCACTGAGACATTTTCTCATCAGTAGACAAAAGATATATTCCCTACTTGATATGTAGGGCTTCAGCTGCTCAGCCTTCATGAATGTTAATGTGAATACAACCTTCTTTCTGCATGTAGGTTACTTTTCTTATTTTAATGTCAATAGGCAGTGGAATCCATGTGAGAGCCTGAGTGATAGAATTTCAAGCACTTCTACAAGACTGCTACCTGGTTCCTTTCTATAAATATTTTTTTCAGTGATATCTGCATGTTCTTGAATTATTTATGTTTAACAAATTGCAGTTATTGAACTTTTTATAAAAAGACAATAACAGAACTATATTTTATTATTAAAATATACAAAGGAATCAGTTAGCCATGAATTTTGGCCAAGTTCCAAAAAGCAGGCCAATAGGAACAAGTACTTTGCCTTTGAGAAAAAGGATGTCCCCAGAGCTCAGCAAAGCCAAAAGGATTTTCAGTTTTTTGAGATCACATCTGACACAGTTTTCATTTAAAGGCCGTAGATGAGAGAATATGTAGTTTCTAGGAATGTGTGTTTCTGTCCCTGACTTTCAGGTTTTGTGATTTGCTCCAGAATAAAAACAGTTTTGTAATGAAAGTATAAATTGATGCAACTGGCTAGGAGTGTTACTTGGCAATATCTATCAAAGTTAAAAATGCAGTTGAACTATTAAATGGTTAAGTAATTACCTTGGATTCACTTAGAGCTACATATGTATAAAATTTGATGTGTTCAGGAATGTAAGCATTCCTACAGTAATAGCCAAAAATCTGAAAATATTCTAAATGTTAATCAGTAGCAGACTAGATACTTCTTGTACATTTAAATAATGTAATGTTAGGTTTTTAATGTTTAACTTCAAAAGAATGAAGTTAGTCTATGTTTTCTGATTTATTTATTCATTTACCTAACAAATTTTCTTTAGAGGAAAAGTATATGCAAGACCTTTATTCAAAGCGTTGGGGATACAGTGCTTAAAAAGAGCTTCCTCATAGAGCATCCGTGACTAGTCACATGGAAAAATCTCCAAAGTGTATTTTAAAGAAAAAACAGCAAGTTACATATAAGAGGTATGATGTTATTCCTTTGGAATAAAATTTTAAATGTATATCCCCTATCCCCACTCCTACACATTCATGTATCTATGCAGGGAGATACATTTAATTTTTCTTTCGGGAATATTACTAAAGGAATTTTGAACAGTGGTTGAAAAGTATGAGATGTATCAGGGAAATAAGCAGAAGACTGCCTTTTCTTCTAGACCTCTCTATATAGGTTGAATTTTTATTACCACATGATTTTATTTTATTAAACAATATTAAGACTGAACACATTTCATTATTAAGTAACTAGACTTGTTTTATCTACATTTAACCAATAGTCAACCATCCATCTCTTCTTAATCACTCATGAGTCTGTACTTTTATATTCAAGTAGTGAGTACCTGGAGAAAAGAACCAGATCAAGTCCCTTGGAAATCAAAAATGAAAGGGTAACAGAACACTGAATTCTTTTTACATTTTTTCTTGATTTCCCTCCGCTAGATTTCTTTCATCCCTGATGTTTTACTCTTTGCTCCTTCCTATATCCTTTTATCGACCTTGCTTTCTAATTCTACTTTCTAGAAGCACAACTGGAAAAGACTGTTGTACACTAAGGAAATACTTCAACTCAAATGAATTTAAAATTGTATTATGGGGTGAAACCAAAAAAAACTCCCCTCTTCTGTCATCTTCATGATTGAACCTATATAGAGAGAGTCTATATAGAGAGAAAATTATTGTGTCTCTTCTCTAAAAGTCCTGGAGGGAAAAAAAAGATTGCATGATTTAGATATGTTCTCCTGGAGATGAACCAGATGACCTCCCTAGTTGTCATTCACCCTGTGATTTTAAAACACAGGGATTATCATAATCACAGCTCTGCCATAATGTGGATAAAAGAAGAACCAAGGGTACTTTAAGAGTCCAGAATTGCTTATAAATGCTAGTAAATAATTCAGGGATATTAAATATGATTTGAGAATAAGCACTCCAATGTCTCCATCCATACAGACATTGCTAGATAAAAAGTAGTCTCATAAATACTGTTCCTAAATTCATTAGCTAGGTAGTTGGTACATATAAAAATGAATAGTTATATGTTTAGGATTAAGTAGACTGTAACTTAAATGCTTTGTTTACCATAATCTTTACCATCATTGTGGTCACTTAAGTAAATTGGTGCAGGTGAATGCCCGAGAACCTATAACCTGCTTGTTATTGTGCCTTCTCCTCCAAAGACCTGAATGGTCAAACAGAATTCAATTCACCAAAAGATAACATTAAAAGAATGACCCAGTCTATAGAATTGGGTGCGAGCAGAAGGTGATTATCTGAAAGTGGAGAGTAAGTCAAAATAGAGTCCAGATAGTGGACATCTGTTAGATTTTTTAGGTGTTCAATAGTGTGCTCATGGAGGGACGCCTGGGTGGCTCAGTTGGTTAAACGTATGCCTTCGGCTCAGGTCATGATCCCAGAGTCCTGGGATCAAGTCTCACAAGGAGCCCGCTTCTCCCTCTGCCTGCCTCTGTCTCTCTCTCTCTGATAAATAAATAAAATCTTAATAAAAAAATAAATAAATACTGTGCTCATGGAGTCAGGAAGACTATGGGGTGGGGAAGCATAAAGGGAGAATGGAAGAGGTAACAATGTCTTTTCATTCTAGCCTGTGTCTCTCCCAATGGTTAGAGACCACTTCTGTGATAATCCTCAGCTTGACCAACAGTATCTGAAAAACCAAGCTAGAAGTTCAAAAGCAAAACTTCTATGCCCATATGAAGAATCATAGAACAGTGAGCTGTATGTGCCTAAACTGAAGTAGTGCTTATCGGACAAAGTATAGACAGAAATTACATCTATTCAATTGACAAATAATTAGTTAAACACGACTGTGTTTAAGGCCCTGTTTTTAGCACTGGGGATATGTGCCCAAACAAACAGGCCCATATCATGGTCTCATGGAGCTTACATTCTTATGGTGGAAGAGAGAGAAAAATAAAATGAATAAATGAAACATTAGTATGCTAGATGGTGATAAATGAATGGAGAAAAATTAAGTACGGAAGGAGGTTGGAGTGTTTGGGGTGGGGGGATTTGCATTTGTGATAAGGTGGGTAAGAAAAGGCCTGGGTGGCTCAGTTGGTTAAGCGTCTGCCTTCAGCTCAGGTCATGATTCCAGGGTCCTGGGATCGAGCCCCGCATCAGGCTCCCTGCTCAGCAGTGAGTCTCTTTCTCCCTCTTCCTCTGACCCTCTGCCTGCTTGTGCTCACTCTCTCTCTCTCCCTCTCCAAATAAATAAAAATCTTAAAAAAATAAATAAATAAATAAGAGGCCTGATTGAAAAGGTGATAGACTGACACAGGCCTGAAGAAAGTATATGAGCCATGTTGAGACCTGGGAGAACTTGCTAGGCAGAAGGAACAACCAAGTGCCAGGTCCCTGAGAGGAAGTGTGCCTAGTTTATTGGAGAAATAGCAAGAAGACCAGCAGGGCTCACGTGGATTGCACAATGTGGGAGAGCAGCAGGAGATGAAGTTAAAAGGAGCTAAACTGGATGAGACTGTGTAGGCCATTACCAGGACTCAGTTTTAGT